TATTTGGTGGGATGAGGAGGGAGTGGTGTATTATGAGCTGCTGAGAAGTGGTCAAACCATCGATGGGCCCTTCTATCGACAACAATTGATACGTTTGAAACAAGCAATCAAAGAAAAACGCACGAAATGGGAGACCAGAAAAGAGACATTGATTTTCCTACATGACAATGCTAGGCCACACATTGAGAAATCGGTCAAAAACTACTTGGAAAATAGCGGATGGGAAGTTTTGGCTCACGCCCCGTATAGCCCAGACCTGGCTCCTTCCGACTACCATTTGTTTCAATCGATGCAAAACCATATGGACGGAGAGCGGTTCTCTTCAGTTGAAGAAATCCAAAATTGGCTCGATGCATTTATAGCCTCAAAAGATGAGGAATTTTTTAAGGCAGGCATCCGTCAATTGCCCACATTGTGGCAGAAGGTCATCGCTTCCCATGGACAATATTTTGATTGAAATGTAATTTCATTTTGGTATTCAAATAAATGTTTGAAAATTTAAAAAAATCGACAAAACTAATTCCCAGACCCAATATGTGTATAAATCCTAAATATTAGCCAGGCATCGGTTACAGTTTGAATTTGAAATTCGTGTGAAAATGAACGTATTACCGTTGGTTTTGTTGGTGTGTGCTATTTTGCTGCAGTTGCAGGTATATTTGAAAATGAAAAACAAATAATTCCCGACCAATCAAAATGAGTAAAAGTTTTTCAATTCGTTATTTTTTCAAAATAGCAACAAACTCAAGCAGGCGTTTCCTCGCTTGATCCCAAAAAATGTCATGAAGAGAGAGATCGTTTGCGAGAAAATTTACAACAACTCAACGATCATGTGAACGAAGATAAGGTCGATAGAACTTTCGACATATTGAACAAGACTACAGATGAGGTACGGAAACTGCATGAATTGAAACTACAAACCGTAGAAGATAGGTGTAAACTACTCGGATCACTTGAAACAATTACGCAGCGACTCGCTCATCTTGAGACCAAACTAAATGAAACCAATGAGTATTTGTTTCAAAGAGCTATCACTATGTTTTCCAAGTATACACCTTTTGGGGGAGTGAGGAACGGAGAACCGCCATTATTCCAGCGAACGAATCGGACATTATTATCGAAATAGCTTTAATCGGTGGAACAATAGAGTGCTTTCTTAAGGCATAATTTCCAAGGCGAAAGATTGCAGTCTTGTGCATTGGAAATAGTGCCTTTAGAGGAAAATATCAAAGAAATAATCAAACCAAATAAACGTATTCGTAAACTCAATTTATTCAACGCAATTTTGTGTTCTATTTATTTGAATTTTCCATTTTGATTGGAAAACAATTACAAGATTTGGTGAAATTATCGAAGGTAATCCGATAGAAAAAATCGAACGTTTGACTTATTGTGGGCATAAAGTGCGTTTAGACCCATAATTTTTTGGAGCTCCTCGATTACCTTGAACCTACTTTGAGCACTCCTGGACGGAGTTGAGACTTGACTGTCCTTCATTTCAGCTCCATAACATGTCTCTTTCCTAAGGTAAAAAGTTATTTAAAAAACCGAAATTAAACGGAATCGCACACAAAATTTGTTCAACATATGAAGGAATGTCAAAAAAATCTTATTTTAATTACCTTTTTTTATTCGACTTGTGTTGCGTCCTCCTTCGTTTTGAAGCGAGGTACGGCGTAGCATTTAACCGATCCGAAATTGTTGATTGAACAACTTTCAATGATTCGGCCAATTGTTCTACCGTTTGATTGGGATCTTCATCGAGTAAAGCCGGGAGGCTGCAACATTGACTTCTTTCCATACTAATTTGACGTTTGTCAGTGGTGAACGATTTTACAGCGCAATCTGCACATATTTGACTATTCGAAGTGAACTAGCTGTCATCAATATCGATGAGTCATCGATGCTCAATTTTGGGTCATAAACGGCACATTTGCAATTTTCAATGTACCGTTTACGACCCAAAATTGAGCATCGATGACTCATTGATACTGATGACAGCTAGTTCACTTTGAATAGTCAAATATGTGCAGGTGGCGCTTTTTGTGTTTGAAGCGCAACGTTGCAGCTGCCCGAGAAAAGCTTTCAATTCGGCATCTTCAAATTTTTTCGGCTAGGGGAATTTAACTCTTACGAGTGCAGCATGTTTTCTGCCAGTTTGCTTGATTCGCGGAAGTTCGACGCGTTCGTTGTACGTACTGACGCGCACGGTCACAAGTTTACACAAGTTTGTTTATGGTTTTGCGCGTTTTTCAAGTTGTTATTTGACAACTAAAACGCGTTTCAAACTAAAAATCGGTTGTTTACGTGTATAAAGGTTTTTCACATCCTTTCCAAAAGTTCAAAGATTTATATAGTTATAAAATGGACAAAGGAAATATTTTTAAAGAGCTGGAGAAAGTTTTGGAAGAAAAAGTTAATCCAGATATAATAAATGGAACGACTGATGTGTGCGCGTCGTCCAGCTTCATGTTTGCACACGAACTCGCGCGCGTTCGCACAAGTTCGCGCATGTTGTTTTAATACGGAACTTGTCAACTGAGTGGAATCATGCAAGTTCTCTGGTGAATGTAACAATTTCGTGCGCGTTTATATCATTTTTTTACGAGTTTTCACGTTTCGGTCTTCCTGAACGTTCATTGTCTTCCACATCAAAATCACCGCTTTTAAAGCGTCGAAACCATTCTCTGCAGGACTTATCTGAAGGCGCCAAATCACCACTTTTCTTCCAGTTAAAACAAAATAGAAATCTCGTAGATGCTGCTTGTTTGGCACGAAATTCGACATTGTAAGAAGGATAAAACTGTGTGCTTATACTTTATAGGGAATAAAAGCTTTTGTTTAGTAAATATTGTTTGTTTGTTTTTTGTTACGAGAATAGACGGAAAAAAAAATTTGCTACAAGTGATATGAGTAGTTTGGAGAGAAAATGTAATGCAGAAAAGTTGTGCGGAAAAATTTCAAATGAAAAGAGATAACCATATAGTTTACCATGGTTTACTATACAGTATACTACATAGCTATCCCTTTTTCGCTCATTCATCATCGACATTTTTCCGCGCAACTTTTCTATATTACATTTTCGCTCCAAACTACTCATATACACTCAACTTTGTAATTTCTAATTACTAAGTTTGCTTATCGCTGAAACATTATCAACACTTGAGCTAAAAACGGAAACTGCACCTTGAGCGTTTATCTACAGAAAAAATACACTCGGCATAATGGAGAATATAGTGTACTGGCATAGAGGAACATAAGCATTTATTCGTGTATTTATTGCATAAGCAAGTATCACATAACACAGGTATATGTGTGCAATACTTCAATATAAGAGTTTCATATTTTTTGTCAACCAATCGTCTCTTTTTTCGATTCATAATCGAGCAAGCGATTTTGTTCATTAATAACGTTCTTGGAACGATCCGCTTGCTTCATTCAATTTAGTATAAAATCGGAGATTCGTCAAAACGTTTTCATTCACTGCTTTTATAGTTTGAGAGAAAGAGTTCAGTTCTTTGCTTTTTGCTATAAATTTTCTTGTTAAAAATCGAAACCATTTTTCTCGTCATGGAAAACCCCAGTAATTTACCCCGGGCTGTTCAAATCTTATCACCGGTCGATCATTGTTTCCAATTGAAATTGAATGATTTGGAGAGTATTTTGAATGCGGACGACATCAAAGATCGACGCATCGTCGTCGTTTCGATTGCGGGTGCATTTCGGAAAGGAAAAAGCTTTTTAATGAACTTTTTCCTAAAATATTTGTATGCGCAGGTAGTGTTGGCCGTCGAACACTTTCGAACGCTTGTTCGTTCGTTCGACATGGTTTTAAAAAAAGGTTTTGTTCGTTCGTTCGTTCGACAATTTAAAAAGAATATTTTTTTTTTCGTTCGTTCGTTCGACATTCATTTTGTTCGATGTTCAAATTTTTTTTAGATTAGAAAATTCGATGTATTGATCAAATTTATAATGTAATCGTTACAGCTCATGCTTTTATTATATAATTCATAGTAATACCAATTTTATTCGGGAGATTTTGAAATAAAAAAAACTTTGTTCGGACCGAACATCGAACAAAATGAATGTCGAACGAACGAACGAACGAACAAAAAAAATATTTTTTTAAATTGTCGAACGAACGAACGAACGTTCGAAGCCATCACGCAGGTAACAAAACCGAAATAAATAGTTCGATCAAAAGTGTTATTCAATTCATGTTCGTTGTTCGACAGTATCAAACAAATAAAATTCAATTATTCAACAGTATAAAAAATGTGACGTGTCCGATTGGATTGGTAAAAATGACAGCGAAAATGCAAACCGTGTACAAATTGGTTTCAAGTCGCGTGGCGGTCGACAGCCGGAAACCACTGGAATTTGGATTTGGTCGGATATTTTTACACACGATGAAAATTTGGCAATTATTCTCCTCGACACCCAAGGAATTTTCGACAATCAAAGTAGTGTCAAGGATTGTACAACGATTTTTGCACTCAGCACCCTATTATCGTCCGTGCAGTGCTTCAATCTGATGCAAAACATCCAAGAAGATGATTTACAGCATTTGGAACTGTTCACCAATTATGGGAAGCTTGTTCTTGGCCAATCGAATGAAAAACCATTTCAACAGTTGATTTTCGTTGTACGCAATTGGCCGCACGCATGTGAAACGGGCTACGGCTGGAGTGGTCGAAACGTAATTGAAGAAGTACTCGCTGAAAATTCGGATCAAACATCCGAAATGCAACAGTTGAGAAGCCAAATTAAATCGAGTTTCGAGGAAATTTCAGCGTTTTTGATGCCGTTCCCAGGCACCACAGTACAACAAGGTGGTTTTACAGGCGATTTACAACAAATCGACCCGGAATTTGTAAAATATATCGAAGAATTGGTGCCAGCCATTTTTGCACCTGATAAATTGATCGTTAAGAAAATTAACGGCCACGAGTTGAGAGCTCGTGATTTTGCGAAATATCTTCAATCATACACCGACATTTTTAACGGCGATAAGTTACCCGAACCAAAAACCGTTTTGATGGTATATGCTAATTTAAAAAAAAAATCTGACCTTCAAATGCCTTTCTAAATGATGATTTGACAAATGGTGATATCTAATATCAGCAAATTTGCTTTTAGGCTACTGCTGAAACGAGCTATTTAATTCTACAGAATGAATGCATGAATTTTTATGTCGATTTCATGGAAGAAACATTCGACAAAACAGAAACGTACTTTGACGAAATGGAACTCAAGAATATCCATCAAAGAGCTCTGGATGGCGCGATGTCCAAGGTATAGTAGAAAATCAGTGACAAAACTTCTTTAATAGAATAAGAATAATTAATGATATGGTCAATGATTTCCAATAGTTCGATGAAAAACGCAAACTTGGCGGAAAAAAAATGATTTCGAAATTACAGCGCCAAATTAAGAAAGACATTAACGACAAATTCGACGTTTTTACACAGAAAAATCAAGTAAAACTCGAAGATTTTATTGTAAGTACTATGTTTTGAGGACGATTTTTTTTTTCATAAAGCACTATTTACAAAGCATTGCCATGGAAATAGTGCCTTAATATTTATGTAATTTAATTTGCTTATGTACGTCAAGTGCTTTTCAGCTTGAAACTAGATTTTATTTTGTATATTTATAGTTAGAAAAGCACTTTGTGAGTTTGAAGCTTAGAACGTAGATTACTATGTCAGTGTAGCGTTTGATCTTAATGCATTACCATTATTATTGCAGAAAAAGGCGAAATGGCATAATAAAAATGTGATCACCGAGATCAAAACGTCGTTGGTCAAATGCGTGTGTGAAGAAATCAACAATACCGAATTGAATTTGACGCGTTCCCATTTACAAACTATTTTTGGAACTATGCAAAAAACTGCAATGGAGCAGGTGATTTTGGAATTTTTGCAATCTTTTCATCGTTGCATTCAATTCTTCATTTTTTCAACTGATATTGATAACTATTTACATTTACAGTTTGAAAGAGAAAAAATCGGTATCGATGAAATCTCTGATGAATTTCGTGAAGATCTTAAGCATGGCCTAGACCGATTTGGCGTCATTTTGTTTGAAATGTGGGATGTATACAGCAAATCTGTGGGCAGTTATAAGAATGGTTTGATGAAAAAAATAAATGAATTCAACAGAGGATATGCGACAGAATATGAGCTTGTTAATTCACATCAAAAGGCACAAGACAAAGCAATGGCACAGGTTTATTTTTTTCACAAATTTTCTTTATCCTAATGTTTTCTTCCTCTTATCTAAACAATTACATTTTTTTCTAATTTTTTTAAATAATAAACTACAAAGTTTCATGCAAACATAAAATGTGACAACCATGACGCGATAGCTACTTCCTTCGGATTTCGAGTTGAAAGTGAAATAAAGAAGTCTTTTCGCTTGTTCCAGTGGTTTACACAATGGTTTCAAGTCCGCAAAAAAATAGGAAAAGCAGACCAGGAGCAACTGCAAATTAAATACAATATATAATTGCTAATGTCATCATTGAAGAAATTTTCTTTCGGCTTTGGATGTTTAAACGAAATATTCCAATAAATATTTTCGATGAAATCGAAATTTTAGTGTTTTCTATATCAATAATTTGTATTTGAAATAATAAATGAAAATTACCCAAACTATCAAATGTGTCGATGTTTGTCTTTGATCAGTGAATGTTTGAATTTAAAAAAGCAAGGAACCATTTCTTGGTCAAAAAAAAAACTTCGCAAAACATCGAAAAACCTCTAAAACGTATCATGCCTGTTCAATTTAAGAAAAGAAAAACAACAAGAACAATAGAGTTCAACAGACCGATTCCTTTTTCCTTCCTCTTGAATTCTTTTCATTCATATTCAGTATTAAATTCACTCGCATGAGTCATCACTGAGTGACATCGAACCACTGATTCCGAATGTCAACATAGCGATTTCCGAAGTGATTTAAAGTTGCCATGCAATTGCAATATGATCTATGCAATAGATAAAATCATTCGATAAAATTGATGGCAAAGGTGAAGTTCAATTCAGTTCAAACCAAATTCGTTCAATTTCTTCAACACAAAGCCAAAATCTATTTCCATCTCTGCCGCAAAACCAAAGAAAATACGTTAAACATTTGAATGAGTTATGTGGGAAAAGTAGATGTGAGTGTGCGCAAGAGAAGCAACACATGGTCACACATATATTCAATTTCCAACTGCATATCCATGTCCAAAATACTCGAAAAGATAGATAGACAGACAGACACATGAATCGGGTGCAATGAGACGAGCGAGTGAGGGAGAACGGAGATTTTTGTGTGTAAACACAGCACGAGGGGGTTGTTTATATCAATTGCCATTGTGTATTCTTTGTGCATAAAGAGCAACAACACACACTACCGCATGTCGCCGAAACGGGAAAGAAAAAAAACGTAAACATATTAATCATCACAGACGCTGAATGAAAGTCAAGCGTTGTACATTTCGTGGGGTCGCAGTGAGCATTGCAAAAATTTGTGTTCGACGTGAAACAGCAGCAAAATCGAGTGTGACTTTTGAAAACGAGATCAAAGTGTGTGATTGCAAAATTTCCAGTTATTTAAAAGTTAGAAAGTGATAGAAAGATATTACGATGGCCGAAGATCCAGCTGCACAAACCGGTGAAGGTGATAAAAAAATCGTTCACACATATCCACTCGTCAAGGTAAAAATTCTTCCTTTGAGAAAAACGAAAAAGAGAAATTCAACGAAAAATCAAATAACAACAACCAAAAATGCCAACGCTGTTTAATTACGGTGAATTTGTTTGATCAATGTAACCGACAAAAAATTAAAACCTCAATCGAATAGCACGCGATTGTTCTGCGTTTTCTTTTTCATTTGCTTTGGCTTTTGTTGATTTATTGTCATACTAATTTTGATGTTATACCGAAAATGACTAACGCGCATTCCATCCCTCTTCCCTTGCCACCGTTTGGCGCTATTCGACGCCCCATGCACAATTTGTTGTGTTTCGAAACAGTATTCAGATATGCCCGAGGAAATGAAATCGGAATGCGTTGAACTGAGCATGACTGCGTGTGAGAAGTTTGCCAACAATTATGAGGTAAATCAAGTGTTTTTTTGCCGTTTTTTTTTTAGGTCGAATTTATTTGATTTATTTGACGTATTCAAGTGAATTAATTGTACTGTCTTTCCTTCGTTTTCGGTGTATTTCGGTTGATCAGACAGCAGCGCGAACGATTAAAGAGGCAATGGATAAAAAGTACGGCGTGTATTGGCATGTGGTGGTTGGTGAAGGTTTTGGCTTTGAAATCGGATACGAAACGAAAAATATGCTGTATTTGTTCTTTGCTGGAAATATCGGCATTGTACTGTGGAAATGCTCTTAAAATTTTCACCTTTCGAATTCCACGTGTTAAACCTACGGATGGAAACGATTTCCATTACCAACTTCGATATGTATTTGCTAATCAAATATGCAATTGTTTTAACGAAAGCAATAAACAACGTTCATTTGTCAACCGAAAGCAAATGTTCAACCGACTATTCAACGACATCGACATAATATTGTACAAATTTTTTTTGCTTGCAATTTTAAAGAAAAAAAATTACACAAAGTTCGATTAATAAAACGGATATTTTTTGTATTCTACTTTTAACGGAAATTTTTACCCATTGTTTCATTTTGAATTCATTTTTAGAGCAGGTCTGAAGCATTTGAACTGAATCGATCTATTACCTATTAATTCATTTAATCATTTAATTCGGCGATAGAATCCAGGAAAAATTGATGTTTGAAAACATTTTTGTTCAGAAAAAATTGTGTATTTTCTCTTAATCGAATAGTGATATCTAATGGACGCTATCCATTCTACAGCGTAGATTCTACACTGGAAATGTACTTACTGCTTCAATCAGAGGCTCTAATTCAGAGCAAAATGGTGGGTTTGAATTTCAAGTTTGAAACTTAAGTATACATCCATATTCTGAAGGTTGTCCTTATCCATGGGATCCTTCCAAATCTCTTTAGTCAAAACGGAACCTTGTTAAGAAATTCCCTTGTATTCAACAATGAATTTCAACATCGAAGTAAGTTTTCAACTAAACGTCAATCGAGTGTGTTTTCATCGGGATACAGGTAAAAGACGAGAAACAAAAGGGAGAAAGGTGAACAAATAAATGAAAGAAAGAAAGAACGAAAAGAATTTCAAAAAAAACCACAAACTTCCATAATTTTCATTTGAAATCTTTATGCTCTTCTAATGATATTGCTTTAAATCTATGATATAATATTGCGCACATTTGATTTGTTTTCATTTAATTTCAATAAGTTTTGATTTGGATTTTTTTGTTGTTGCTAGAATATGATTTGCTCTTTGTCAATATAATAGTAAATCGGATTAATTGATTGAATGAGTGAATACTAGCTAGTTTCCAAAAACTGTATTTTCAAATCAGTTTTTGCTATACAACCAATTCCTAGTTTGATTAATTGATTTTCGAGAAGAAAGAGCAACAAGAAATGTAAATCAGTACGAATTTCGATGATGAAATAATATATAACGATTTTTTGTTCTTTCGCTATGCTCTAGTATCATGTGTGATTTTCTTCATCATGTGTGTGTGATAATAGTAAATGTCATATTAAATGTAAGAATACTTGTTTGATATCGTCAAAATGTCATTTGAAAAAGAAGGCCATTTCAAATTCGAGGCGACTGGAACTATGAAAAAAAAACGGTCCAGATATGTGTTCACTCAATCGCAAAAAATGCTGAGGTAATACAGTCTAGTCTATGCATTGCATTACATTGTTATTGTCTATTTATTCCTGGTGCATTTGCTTGTTCTATCTAAAAGTTTTTGTTTTTTTTTTCTCAATATTTTGTTTTTTAGTTTCATTTTTTTCTAAATTTTTGGTTCGATAGTTATTTCTCTCTGAAGTTCTGATTCATTTTTGTTTTTCTTTTCTCTTCATAAAACTAAACTGTCTTCTGCTTATTTAAAAAAAAAACACATTGCAAACCCATTCGGTTGCATTTCATCAAAAATAACATTCAACATACGAAATAAACTTTTGTCATAAAATACTCTAAAGAATTTAGTAAAAAAAAGTATAAATAAAAGAATTTTAAAAGAAACAAAAAATTGAGCACAAAACGGGAGTGAAAAAATCCTAAAAAAGTGACTTGGTCCAAGAAGAGTGTCTTCTTCGATTGGTATAATTTTTGTTTTCGTTTTTGTTGTTGAATGGCGAATTATGGGAAGATAATCCAAATGTTCATTTTTATGGCGGAGGGAAAAAAAGCGCGATTCATTCATTGGAATTGGGTAACGAGCATTTTCGTTGCCATGGCCAGATTGTACGCACAATTTCGCACTTCTTGCATATACAAATCTATCGATGTCGTATCATTTGATTGAATCGAATGCTGCAAACCGGCACAGTCCTTCTGCAAATGACCGGTATTTTGATTCAATTGCCGGATGGCGTTTCGAATCGTCTCATTGGTGATAGTCTGCGGAAAGAAATCGAATTTTATTAGTCAAATAGGAGAGTGATCAAGATATGATGTACTACAGAGGTGAATAAAATATCAAATTGAATCACTGATGGGCTGAACGTTCAATTTTTACCAACTTTTTACTCATGGTCAAATTGAAAATTGACTATAAACTATCTAAATTTGATATTTTCCACCACCCACGTATTTCATGGGATATTCTTAGCCTACCGTTGGAAAAACGGCTGTCAATTCGGCAACGGCGACTCGAATCCGTTCTGCGCCTGGCACAAACACATCATTCGCCGTCATTTCCTGCATAACAGACCAGAGCTCTTGAATGCGTCGAGTAACCACTTCGGTTCGATGTTTTACTTCATCCGAATGTGGTAGTGTGGTTCCATTGGTCGATGCAGTCGCGATACCTCCATCAGGCTGTTGTGTTGGTTGACCATCGACCATTTGGTACATACTATTTGCGGTGCGATTATCATGATTTTGTTGTGATTTTGCGGCATGTAGCCCTTCACGTGTCTCATACATGCTGACGGGCCGTTTATTGTATGCCGTCGTCAAATGCGATTCATTCGTTTCCGCTGTATCAGCATCGGTGCCCACACATTCCGCTGATTTGCCATTGCCATTCGTGTGCACATCATCAATTCGCCTGAATGAGAAACACAATAGAATTTTTAATCGAAATGAAACACGATTTTGAATGAGAAACGATAAAAATTGTTGAATGAAACAAGTTTTATCAACTTAGTTCCACGAAACATCTGTTGCCCTTTGCTTTGTCATTCGTTAACATTTGTGAGATTTAAGTCATTCGGAACAAAGGATTTTGCTTTCATTCTTTTTATAAGCCATTAGGTTATTCTCTTCCATAGTTTATAGACTATGGCCCATCCATATATAGGTCTTTCAAAATCATTTTTGATAAAATGATGTTAATTTTTAATTTTCCCGGTAATAATCCATTCACTCATTAAAAATAACAAAAAGCTTGACAAATGATGCAAAAATGAATTCAGTTGAATTCCAAAGTTCCATTTTTATACATTGCCCATTGTTCTGATGACTTCTTTTTTCCCTTGATGACTTCTTTTTTCATTCAACTTTGAATTATGATGAAATTCAACTTTTTGGATTAAATTTTAACTTTCTACGTTAAATTATGAATTTATGAGGCAAAAATCGAGTTTTGACACCATCAAATTGATGTTATTTTTTATCCAGAATGAATGAAGAAATGCGTTGAATTCCAATTTCAGCTGACGGTCATAACGACCCGGACAGGCAGGATACTTCTGTATTTTCTATTACATTAGAGTATACTGTCCGTCCGTGGCGTTATGACCGCCACTCCCAATTTCAAATGCTGTCTACTTACAATGGTACATCGAATGCACTGACCGACGAATCGATACGTGATTTGAGTTGGCAATTCTCCGTCAATAGCTTTTTCACCAGCATTTTCAGCTCATCAATCTCGTAGAATGAGTCCTTTGTCAAAATGTATCGGTAAATAATAAATAATCAATTTTAAATCATGAAAATAAGGAGAGAAAAAATTTACTTGTAATTTGCGGCGTAGAGTTTCGACCTCTTGTTTCTGCTGTGGTTCGGCGTGAGTCACCTTTGGTATCAATTGTGATATAAGAAGAACGGGATTTAATTAGAAATGTGTATGGAATTTGTTGTGAACATTCTTCAAAAAACCATTTACCCAAAATTATGTGTGTGAGTCGAAATGATTCGTGATATAGATAGAGATAACATGTAAGTGATTGTATACATTACGGATTACACATCAGAGAGGGATTAGTTTATCGAACGGCTTTTGCTAAATAGACAATTCGTTAAAAACGATAACAACAACAATAACAATACCAGCAACAGAGTAAGTACAACGAGTAAAAATGATATTAGCGAAAGAAAGAAGCGATTTTGTGATATGATGCGATTTGTTTGTTTAATTTTTATTAGTAAACAGAGCTTTTTGGTTGTGGATTACATGAATTAATATTTACGTTCGTTTATTACGTTAAATATTAATAAATTAGTTCATGAGCAGGAAAAAAAAAATAAAGCAACTACAATATTCGCAGCAATTTATTTCGAGCGACTAACCACCACCACCACCATCACCGTCATATATACACAAAGCATAGAATGTCTCGTTTGTAATAAATTTCATCGGCATATTTTCCGTTCCTTGTTTTGTAATGGTTAAATGTCTATGTAAATGATGAATATACAAAATAGCAAGATGCATGGGTTATTTAATGTTAGATAATAATCCAAGTTGTACTTTGGGCTGGGGTTATTTCGGTTATACATGAAACAGATAAATATATATATATATGTGAATTTGTCAACAATAAATATGTAGCTGCGAGACGAAGAGAAAACAGAAAAAATTCCAATATCATTTTGTTTAGACTGTTTCACTGCTTACATTACTAAAAACAACAGATTTTATTTACTTAAATTAGCAATAAATACCGTACAGGCTATAATCAATTTTTTACTCTACAGTTTTATTCCCTTAACCGACTGACTGTTTTTTTTTTTTTTTTGGTAACATTGCTAATTGGACTGAATTATTAGTGGATGTTGTTATTTCTTTTTCAATAGAAGGGGGTCAATGTTAGTCAAATGTAAATATTTTGCTTTGGTTTCTGTTTTGGGTTAACATAGAACTACATGGTGATTTATTTTGTTATCTAGGCCATATCAACCAATGCTATTGATTTTCAATGGTTTTTTTTGTGTGGCTGTTGTTGTTGACGTTACCTGTTGCTGGCCCACTACCGACCCTGTTGCACTTTTATTCAATGGCGTGAGTGCGGCATAATCATCGTCAGACGCAACCGCATCGTACAGTGGCTCATCGTCCGATAAATTCGATAAACGCTCTAAATGATGATGTTGCGGTTTTGCATTTGACATTTCAATCGACGGACCATCTATTTTTTTTTTTTAATTTCGGAAATTTTTTTAATTACTTCGTTTTTATATGTCTACTTCAGATATGAAACGTTTCAAATTTTTTTTGCCAGTCAATCGCATGAATTTTGTCAATTTTCGAATAAATCAGTTTGGTACACAATTTTACGAATTAATTTAGAGATTACACACGATTTGTTTTTCTTTTAGTTTGGTGGTCGATGTCCGAATGGGGAAATTTTTGAAAATAAAAATTTGGTATTTTTTGTAAATTTTTCAAAGTTTTCGATAATTTGGTTAATTTTTATAGATTTTTTTTTGGTTATTTTTCCTTTTTTGACTAATTTTGAATTTTGTTTGTTAATTTTGATTTTTTTGTTTGTTAAAAATTTGGAAAAAATTTGTTAGTTGTGAAAAAAGGGATTCCATTAAAGTTTTAATCGATATAAAAACTAGTTGATTTTGGTATAAATTGGCTAATTTTGATAGAAAAAAATTAAATTAATTTGGAAAAATAATTTTGTCCACCCAATTTTGTGGTGTGTGGAGAGGTAAATTTGAGATGTTGTTAAAAATGCTCGGAGCACTAGAAGACTTTACCTAATGGCCGAAGTGCAGCCATGTTTTGTCGTCGTTTGGCATCGATAAGAACGTCTGTAATCAGGCCCATAAACTCGTTCGGACTGAATCGTGCCAATTTTTGACGGCCCTGATTTCGTGTTGCACTCAGATGTGGATTCGTTGGCAAAAATGGAACTGCACCGATTTCTGGATTTAATGCACTTGTCGCCCAAACTGATCACGGAAGATGATTGAGATACAAAGAGAGAGAATTATTTAATTGGTGTAAAAAAAACGTTATTAAAACGTTTTGAACAAAAATTTTCTTCAACAAAACAATTTACATCCAATCAAACTACAAGACTTAATGAAAAAGCGATGTTTTTAGGAGTATTTAAAAAATCAAATGTAAAGAGAATGACGGAGAAAACAAAAAGGTGAACAACGTAGAAAAAAAACGTTTGAAGACAAAAATCATGGCAGAAGAATAAAAAGATAAAATGTTGTTAGATTGATAAAAGAACGATTGGCAAAATACTCACTAGCTTCGGTTTCACGTCGATCAACCTCATCATACAGGTCCATGACCAATTCTTGGAACATTTTATTTGGTACCAATTGCAGTTTGCCCCGAGCAATTTTCAATTGTTCGCTGATTTCCGAATTACCCTGATCGGGGATGAGAAGATGGCTGGAAGTTGAATGATCGGGTTTTTTACCGCATAGAAAATGTGTCAAACGATCGGTGACCTCGTACGTTGCTTCAACAAGACGATCTGCGATGGCTGTGTGCTTATTTTGTTTAGCAATTTCATGCGCTGTATTGCCTTTTGAATCTTTGGCCGTGAGATCTGCACCGTACACAATCAATAGTTCAATCTGTGATGCCTGTCCCGATTTGGCGGCCATCTGCAGCGGTGTCGATCCTTTTTCCTGATTCAAAGAAATTGGAATTAATGGTTTACAGAAGAACACCGCAACTGAGTAGACTGGCTGTACGATTTTAATACGTAGAGTCTACAGCTTTCAGTTGCGAGTTGCGTTCTACTTTAGTTAACAGGTTTTGCTATCTATTTTTTCAACCTGGTAAACTTTCTGCACTCAATTTCTTTCAATTGAGATAGATTTTAAAGGGAAAGTTTTCCATCATTGAAACTAACTTATCCATTGATTGATCGAATTTCTCCGAAACCGAATTTTCCATCAATGATAAACCCAACTCTTAGCCCGAGGAGCTTATTTGTCATCGCAACCCACTGATTCGCATAAATCCATACAAATTGACTCGCGAGTCCTACCACAAGCGTACAAGAAAGTACAGCGTATGCCTACATTTTTCGTATTGACTTGTGAGATTCGCATGACACATAAGCCTCTCATTTTAACCAAATGAAAAAAAAAACAAATTGAATACGAATCTCAGGGCCTCTAGCTACAAAAAAATCCACTTTCCAAAAATGCTCACCTCATGAAAATAATTCGGATCAGCTCCTTGAACCAACAATCGTAGCGATGTCTCGAGATTGGCCGACCGTACACTGGCATGTAGTTGTTTGCTCAGCTCCTGTTCCAAATTCACCGGACTACCATCACCGTCAACTTGTTGCGGATTTGGTTTCAAAATAAATGACAAATTCACATGTTTCGCGCGAATAAATTCGGCTTTGGTCGGATGCAACGAGTCCTTTGGCGATGGTTTTCGTTTCAAATTTTTCGGTGCAACGGCATCCATGAGACAATGTTCCCACACACTGTTTGCGCCATGTGCATTGATTGCATTCACATAGTTGAGCACAGCCGGAGACCAGCTGCCCTGTCGCAATGACTTCACTTGTGATATGTGCCGGCCAAGACTACGATGGATCGAACAACATTCCGCACACAATAAAATGCCCCGATTTATTGATGCCCACGATGGATCTACACACACAAAACACGAGAAAAAAAACAAAAATATAAACACAAAACTCCACTCGAAACACCTATTGTGCATCGCGTTTGACATGATAATTTTTGGTCGCATCAACAAAAAAAAAAGAAGCCAACAAATGTAAACAAACCTGAAGCGCCACAATCACCACAAATTTCAATCTGTGCACGCGATTTAATTCGCGACATATTTTTTTTGTCGTCAGTTTATTTATTTATTTTTTTTGTTCTGTTTCTCGTTGCTTTCTGAAAACTCCTTGCCTATTCAACATACACACACTGTACTTCGTACCGTTGTTCACCGTATCACATTCACAACAATTATCATTTTGCAGTGGAAATCGATAAAATTGGCACGGTCGCAATGATGACTGTAAACGGGATCAAAACAAAACACGGATTTTTCAACGTTTCGCATCGACTTTTCTAATTCAATTGTGCCAAAAACTGCAGCGTTTGCGATAAATTTCCGAAAATTTTATCAGATTGCAAGTCAGAAAACGGAACGAGTGTATGCAAAAGGTGTGTGTGTGTGTATGTACGGTGTGTGAGCGAGGAGAGAGAAGACGAACAGAAACAACAATTTGAAGGCAAAACGAAGAACTGAGAAGAGAGAAGAGAATGAAATGTTTTATTAAAAAAAAAAAATCATAAAGTATCCGTAGTACTATGCGTGTGTTTACGATATGCACAAACACATATACATCGACCGATTTGGTGTGTATATTTCGATCAAAGTATCACGTACATTGTGACAAGTTGACTCATTCAAACGACCACAAAGAATGGCTTTTGACTGTGCGAGTGTCAATGTGTGCGTGTGTGTGAACTGTCATCAACTGTCGACCGAGGTGAATATGGCATGTGCTCGAATTCACCATGCCGACAATGCTTGTTTGTCTCGCCACAAGAGATTCAATGTGATATTTCGATTGGCAAGCTAAAAAATGAAATCAAAACTCCTGAACAGGTCTTGAATGGACGATTCTCAGGATAGTCCTTGAAGAGAAGAATCTAGCTCTAAATGAACTTTGCCAATGTTTCCAAGAGAATGCCAAACATTATGCACCCATGCTTCGCATCGACTTGGCAATGTTATCCCCTCTAACCTCACTCTTTATATTCCCTGTAAATATCACACCGACACAAAGTTTTTCTAAATAAAACACAATCGACCCGCAATGGATTCGGTAATTGTTATTTTTTTTTTTACTCAAATGTTGTTACTTTTATTGATAACACAACATTCCGCATAGAATTTAAGTGTTTCTTTTCAAAGAAACAAAATCCTTTTACGGCTGCTTTTCATTGTAATTCAATAAATGTGGGATGTTCGCTTAAATTCTTGATGGGTAGAGCAACTGAAAAATAGAGCAAAAAAAAAGAAAAGTTTTAGAATAATGTAGTTTAACTGAAATGGAATTGAAATATCCACGAAATAATGCCAATTGGACAGAGAATTGTGTGTGAATCAAGTCAGACGTGTTAAAAAGTTCCACATTTATTTGTTCAGGTTTCAAATGTCTGCAAATAATTGGAGTCATCATGTTGATTCAATTTTCTCTCACTTTCACTGTTTGGCATTATTTGTCATGGTTTCAAAACCAAACATTGGTCAATGGTTTTCATTTGCACAATTTGTTGGGCACATATTGATGCAAAACATTTGCATATTTTGATGCAATTTTTCTGGAGAATAAACAGTCTCCAATTGGCAGAATGGGCCAACATCGATGAAATGGACCTCAGAATTGATCTAGTCAATCAACGGCTGAATCGGTGGCACAATGTGTTTAAAATCGATTGCAAATACTTACAACACGGATTGGTTGTCCCATGGCGTGACCTGGCAAATTCTTGCGGAATCGGGCACGTACGCTGCCAGTGCTACCGTGCAATCGGGTGACTTTGCCCCAAATGGCGCGTACTCGTGATTTGATGTATGGTTTTTGTGGCAATGATTTGCGTGTTTTGGCTTTGAACACATACACGCATCGTTTACCAACGTAGAAGTTACCATGTTCCTTCTTGCGGCAACCATCGATCTGGTGAATGAGAAAAAAAAACACACACACGCACACGATTAGAACACAATTCTTCAAAAGAAAAATGATGTTTCCGTGATCAAGCCACCGGATTGGAAAATCCAAATTCGGTGAATTTTTCTCACTAAAACCGATTTTCACACTTGTTTCACACTGCGGAACTGGTCCGAGTCTAGAGTCGGTATATTGCACATCCTTTTTTACACACTAACCTTCAAGATAGCTTGTCCTTCGTGTTGATTTCTCAAGCCACGTTTGTAGCCTGTGAAGACAGCTTTAGCATACAAACGGCCACGAGCTGGTGGACGTCTGGTCGAAACTGGTTGTGTACGCTCAGCGGCTGCTGGAGCTGCTGGCTTTTCAGCTTTTCCAGCCTTTTTTGTAACGGCAGCTGGAGCTGCGGGAGCAGATTGTGTATCAGCCATATCAATCAATGAACTAAAACGTTGGGACAGAGAGAAAGAACAAAAAAAAAAACCACCGGTTAGACTTCTTTCGTTTCAACACTCACTAAACAATTGAAAAGAAAAGACCTAAACTTCTATTCGATTCCGAACCGAAACAATTAACGCAGAAGAGAAGAAAAAAAAATCACAAAGTATTTATTGTTTCACATGAAACAAACTGTCACTAGTGCACACAACAAAAATATCACTTGGTTGTTCGGAATGTAAATTTTTTGATTGTACAATAATCCTAAATCATCGGCCAAAATTCCGAAAATCGATATTGTTCTTTAAATTATTCTAATACAATAGACGATTTTCGATGAGAATACGTGAATATTTTCGTTGTTGCACTGGGATTATTTGGTTTTTTTTGGAAAATTTACACAAGACATCACCAAGTCACATACGTACCGGATGCGTTTTCAATGGCGAAAGAATGTTTAAACCGTATGACACCGTACAGGCAGCGCTTCTGTCAAACGCACATTGCCATGGTGTTACGTTGAACTATTTCGAGTCATCTGTCAAATTGAAGCGACACATTTTCAGCATGGGGGCGCCACTGATACACCGCATCAATATTCGATCTGTAAATGTGTGTTTATCATCAATTTTTGTGAGGGTTTTTTTACGTGTGAATTGTGCAATGAACCCAGTCATTGCAACGTAATCACATAGTTTAAATAGAAAAGATAAACACAAACACTAGTGGGGAAAAATTCGCTGCATTTTTGTTATCTTTTTCCAATTTCAATTTCAATTGATCTTTCTTCATCATTTAAATGTAAATGATACTGGTTTCGAAGAGAAAAAAAAATGCCCATTCGTTTCATTAGAATATTAATAATTTATTTTCATCTCCTGCTTTTTATTTGTAATAATTTATTTTATTTACAGTTTTTTTTTATTATCATCATCATCTCCATAAAATGATGCATTCATAGGAAATGTTTTTATTTTTCATTTGTGTTTCCCTTTTCAATTTTCATTTTATTTCTTTCTTTTTAAATTCATTAAAAATGTTTAACTTCTTATGCGAATTTTGAATTTTTGTTTTGCGTTCTTTCCGATGAGAATGCCAAATGAGTCGCCAATGTCGGTTCAATGTGTAAACCAATGTTTCGCCAGTATTTCGTTAGTTTGCCACTTTAATCGATACTAAAAAAAAAACAGCCAACAAACAACAATTGCCTTTGTGCATTTTGTTCAACAAAGTGCGTAGCAATGTCGAATTATCTCTATTTTTTTTATTCCTCTCTACTGTTAGTTAAATGATCGTTTCATTTTTTTCATTTTTTTCATTTTTTTTTTTTTGGATATGACTGAGATATACAAGTTTTTTGTTGTTGTTGTTGTTTGTTGCTTGTGTTAAACGGTAACGCCGAAAAAATTATTCAAATTATTCTCTTTTTTTTTTGTTTCATGTTAAAAAAAAAACGGTATTTTTTATCATATAGTTGTAGAAGCAGTAAATTGAAGACATTGTCATGAAGATCACAAAAGAAATGAGAAATGTGGTGTCTCCTCAGTTGAAGTGAAATTTAAATTGGAACGGTGACCCATGGTAGAAATGTTGGAAGGGATTTTGACCACGGAAACCACCTTGTCCACCTTCTGGGTCAAGTGGATCTTCACCATTATCGAATTGCTCTCGCTTTTTATCGTCGGTGAGCACCTCTTTTGCGGCGGCAATATCAATGAACTTCTTTTCGGCTACCTTTTTTGCATCACCTTGGTATGCATCGGGATGCCATTTTTGTGCGGCCTTTCGATAGGCTTTGGTAATTTCACGCTTTGTCGCCTTACGTGATACACCCAATATTTTATAGTAATCGCGACGTTCAGCCTGCTTTTGTCGCGCCTTTGCTTTTTCCAAACCCTCTTTTGCACGCTGCGAATGCTCGTCCATCTCAAGGGCACTTTGGTAATCGTGAATGGCTACGGAGAGGCAGAAGAAAAAATGAAATTTATTCGAATTTTTGAAAAATAAAATTAATCAATAGCTTATGGTGGGATTTGGATGTTTAAATTCAAGAGAACTTGAAAAATAGCCATAAGCTGAATTCATGAATCTAAAAATTTCTTCAACGTGAATTTTTTCAGACCAATAAGAGTGTGACAATTGACACGTCAGAGAAAAAAAATCTGGTTTCCGATTCAAAAATCGTTAAATTTTCAATTCAAAAGAAAATCTTTCGCGTTGAAAGAAAAAACCTTTCAAATAAGAAAAAAAAAAAAGAAAATTCCACGTTATCAAAACTCACCATCATCGAACATATCGGTTTCCATATAAGCCTCTGCCCGATCGCACAGAACGCTTGGATCTTTCTGCAATTCAAGCGCTTCACGGCACTGTCCAATGGCATCACTGTATTTCTCCGCCTTCACATGACAAGTGCACGACATTTGCTTGGCATTAAAGATGATCATTGGAATTTCGGTTTCGAGTTTAAGTGCTCTTTTCGTTGCATCAATGCAATCTTGATATTCGCCACGTTCCAGTGCTGTATGTGCGTCAGTCAGCGCTTTTTCCACCTTCTTAATTTTCTTATAAAATGGGAAGCAGTCTTTGTGTTCCGGATCCAATTTCAAGCATTCACGTACCTCTTTCAATGCATCGCTTGCATGACCGATTTGATACAATAAATGTGACAATTTGAAATATCCATCAGTACTGTCTTGTGTCAATCGATTGACCGACCGTAAATCCGACACCACCGATAAAATGTCACCCACATTGATGTGACTATCGGCACGCATTTCACGTAATAGCTTTGACCATGGTGATATTTCCAATAATTGCGTCAACAACTGGATGGCATTGTGATGATTATTGTACTGAATCGATTCCACAATGTACATGTATTGATCACGTGCTGGTTGCACTCGCGTATACCAATAATTTGCATCCTGATGATACGGTTCCATTTGGAGCACCGCATAAAAGTCACGCTCAGCATTATCATAATCACCGATTTTCATATACACGGTACCACGTTGAAATCGAGCCGCCACAAAATGTGGCTTCAACTCCAACACCTTTGTTAGATCGTTCAATGCAAATTTCGCTTTACCCAACGCCAAATACACCGTACCTCGTTGATAGTATATCAAATAATTGTGCGGATCACCCTCTGCGTAAGGAGAGAAAAAGAAATTGAATAAAAATGAAGAAAATGAATAACATTTTGGATTGAATTGGCACGAGGAGAGTCTCCTTGGATGGAGCCACGACTCTACTTACCAACAGCTGCATGGTAATGTGTTAGCGCATCGCTTAATTGACCATTGACTAAAAATTGCTTTCCCAATTCTAAGTGTCGATCGACTTCTTGCTGTGATACCGCACTTTCAGCACCTGCAATTTTGGGTCAAAATGAGAAATTTCGTCAGATTTTTGCTCAGATTGTGGCTTGAAGGTTCTGGTAAAAACAGTTGTTATGATGAAATTCAAATTTTAAGGTTCAAAATGTTGTGATTTGGTTCAACATTGATGTGAACCAGGTGATTTCTTTCAAAACGTTGTGTCCAAAATTGATTCCAATGCACAAATGAAAGATTTTATTTTTAAAAAATGACGTCACTTCTGAAGAAAATGACGTCAATTTTGAAAAGTGGACTTTGTTTAACGAAAAAAAATCATTTGAATTTAAAGAAAATTAAAAAGAAGATGGATATTTTTGTGAAAAACGACAAATTTTCTGAATGTCAATGGTAAAAATCGCAGAATGTGCACAAAATACTGAGATTTTGTTTTGAACACAAGAGAAAAAGTCATAAATTGTCGTGATTGTAGTGAAATATCATCAATTGTTATGGTGATTTCCTTTGTTTAGTCATTGAGATAAGGTTTTACTTGTAAAAAAGCCCAAGAGAAAAAAAAGTTGCATTTCGATTGACTCACCATCAAAGAATAGCTCTAGAATTAACAACAATAGACAGGCTGTCAATCGTTTGTCAGTCAGTGATTGCATGTTCATATCGATTGTATTTATGCCCATTTTGTGTGTGTTCTGAATCGCCTCGGATTTGTTTATGCAGCGCCAATGAAATGACCGAGTGTTTGGACGCGAATGGTCACTGTGATTATTTCGCAATTTTTTTTTTCAATATTCGTGTCTAAGCGCCAGGTGGACGGGTTCACTAGTCTTTTCTTCCACCACTTTCTTTCTCTATATAGCTCTTGTTTCGTCTGTCGTTGCTAATGTATTCGATTATCGGGAATGATATTTATAGAATGTTGATGTGCCACTGTTTCGACTCAATTTTTATTACAGGATTTTGTTGTTATTTTCTTTTATGTCTCGGCGCAGCAATTGATCTTTTCCGTATTTCCGTATCACACACGCACAAAAAACACTCACTTCTTCGTTGGGCAGTTCAGAAAAAAGTGAATTTCAATGTTTTAATTTTCGTTGATCGTGTTCACTCAACGAATTTGTTCATTTTTGTTCATTGACAAATTTTTTTCTTCGACAAATTCTTCTTTCTTTTTTTCGCTTTTTTCTCTCTTTTTTTTCTCTAAAAAATGACAAATTCTTCAAATAAAATAAAAGATGAACGAAAATTACGGACCGACCAATCCTAAACACTTTGCTTTTCAGTATGAACAAAGGCTCTTTAATTTTGCCTTTAATTTTTTTGTTCTGTTCAAAATAAAGACGATAAGTTGTATATTGCTTGTGTCTTTTAAATGTACAACATATGAACCGATGAAACCATTTATTTTTACTAGCGCTGCGGCGGTTCTCGGTTTATGTGGTCTCGTGTGATTGGTCCAAATAATTATGTGTTTTGACTTTTTCTACTCGTGATGTACACACGATTGCATTTGTGTGATGACGATGATAGTCGCTCAGAAACCACTACGTACACGATGGGAATGTACGGCAGTGTGTGTGTGTGTATATGATACTGCTACTGCTGTTGGTGCTGGTGTTGCTGCTTGTTGGTGAAACGTCACTCGAAATTCCATGTGGTTACTGTCAGATGTTGAGAGGCTCTCTCACATACAGTTCAGAGCTATCGATAAACAATGGCACAAGTTTTGACAGACCATGACCCAGACAGCTGAGTGCGTTCATAGTTCAACTTACACGCATCCATTCCATTTTGATACGATTTGGAATCGCATGGAATTTCTACTGTTTATTTTGATGCCATTCTCGATTTTTCCACGGTTTTTGATAACGAATCGAATTATCATAGACTGAACGTGATAAGGAGACTGGCAGCTCAACTGATTTTTACAAACGTTTATCTGTTTGTAATAGAAACTTTGTATTTCGATTTGGGAATTCATTATATGAATAATATCGGCATATACGGTTCATAATCAGAAATTCCATGAAAATTATTACAATTTCTTGGAATACATCGGCATTTCTGGGGATATATCAAAGTTCCTTGGTAAAAATCGAACTTAATTAAGCTAAAACGTTCAAACTAACGTGGAACGTTGAATGAAAAATCTGGAGAAATGTGAAGAAAAATTCGGTTAATCACTCAATTTTCACTCGATTTTCATTCGGAGAGACACTCATTTTCTCTTATATATTCGAAATGATGAAAGCTCAAGAGGAAACAACAATCGATGTTTCTTATTTATTTATTGACTCAACATTCTCCGACCAAAATTTAGTCGGTTTCATTCAAAATTTCTGTATTTTCCTGCATTTTCATAGAAATATCGCCAACTGTTTGGAATCATATTCCAATTCTTTATTGAATTTAATTAATTGATCATGTTCAGTTTGAACTCGGTTCGAAGCACAGTTTGAACTCGATTTGATTCATGTTTTGAAAAAATTAATAAATGAAAAACAATGTATTTACAAACGTATTTTTCTCTCTGCGCAAAAAGGAATTGAATAAAAATGAAGAAAATGAATAACATTTTGGATTGAATTGGCACGGGGAGAGTTTCCTTGGATGGAGCCACGACTCTACTTACCAACAGCTGCATGGTAATGTGTTAGCGCATCGCTTAATTGACCATTGACTAAAAATTGCTTTCCCAATTCTAAGCGTCTATCGACTTCTTGCTGTGAACAAACATATTTTTCCTACCAAAAAAATTACAAAAAAGATGAATTGTAAGAAGCAAACTTTGGTCAGTCAAAAAAGAGTTGAATAAGGTTTGATAGCCCGGAAAATATTTTGACTGAGCAGCCAATCGATTATTTTTGGAAATAGTTGACTGGCTCAAAGTGATTATCCAGCAGTACAAAAACAATGATAACAGTTAACTGCAATCACAAGTTGACTGCAGTCAAATACATCTGGCGAATAGTTAAGCGACTGGGTAATATTTCATAGAAATCATAGACTAGAAAGACTATTTTTCATACAAATCATCTGTTCGGTTATTCAAAGTAACTAATTAGTATCAGTTACAGTCAGCCAATCATTCATCTCACGGGAGAGGGATCAATCTCTTTCAGTTGAAAAATTGTATGAAAGAAATCATGAAAATTAGTCGTTGAAAATGATCGAGTTCTTTGTGATGGACATCAACAAAAAAAAAACTGAAAATCGCTTGTGAACTTGAATTAGAATTGGATTAAAAGTCAGCTCCTTTGAATTTATTTCCGAACTTTTTTCATTTCAGAAGCTGTGGTTTGTGGAACTTCTCTCACTTCAAATTCAAATACTGAATCAATGTATCAATATCGAAGCTTCTTCATTTTGCTTTTAACATGTTTAGTCCAACACCAAAATCCCTAATTCAATATTTGTGTGAAATTCACACTGTGAATCAATTCTTAGCTTAGCTCATCCATGAAAAAATTCTTCCAAGAAAAAAACCCAAGTAAAAAAACGCCGGTTTTTATGCAATTGCGATGTGTGCTGTCGTTCGGTCAACGGAATGGTTGAGCGGTTTTTTTTCTGAGTCTTCGTTCCATTACCATGTTGTTTTTTCCGTTTATTTGTGAGTTGTTTCGCGTGTTCTGTGTAAGACGCGATGTGTAATATTGAATTTAAAATATTGTTTCGTTGATCATTGTTCCTCATTCTCTCGCTGTCTGTGGCCGTTTGAACGTCGGTTTGTCCGTTATCGTTTCGTTTCGTGTGTGCAGTTCGAATTTGTTGGTTTTGTGTGTTGGGTGTTTCGTTTCGGCAGTGACTCTGTGAACCAAAAATCAAAAAGGTAACTAATCAACTCAATTCTTGGACCGCAAAATCACCAAAAATACGAGACGAAGAAAAAATACGAGATTTTTTAAAATAAAAATTTTTAGAAACAAAAAATAGGAATTAAAACTAGAAATAAACAAGTCTCTCTCTGTCAATTGAAAGAACTTTTTAGTCGATTATTTGACGATTCTGATGCGAAGTCTTGACGATTTTAATTTGTAGATTCTAAAAGTGATGGCCTGTGCAAAGTGTAACCGAATTTTGCGAAACAAACTGATTTGCGACGAACTATCAAACGTCAACCAACAAAATATGTGTTGTTCATTGATGAAATCACGGCGTGCATTTTTATCGGTGAAAACTTTGAGCGCGATATCTTAGTATGATTGAACCCAAACATGGATTTTCTCTGTTGATTCGTATTTTATCGTTGGTTTTAATTGCGCATTGCATTTTGGAAGATTATTTCTACGTTAATCCCTTTATTGTCGCGTAATTAAAATTGAATGCTTGTGCGATTTTGTGACATTCTTTGGAGAAACAAAACGTTTTTGAAAAGAATTTCTCTTGAGCGAAAGCAGGATGATTGAATGAATTCAAAATTGATTAAAGAGATAAATGAAGAAAAATTGGAAAATATTGGAAGAATGGGAACAAATTGCGAAAAAATTAAAAAAAGATCGAGAAAAACGGAACAAAATGGGAGGTACAATTAACAAATTGTGAATGAACGGAAAAAAAAATGAAGTAAAAAATGAAGTAAAAAATGAAAAAATTGAGAAAAAATAAGAAAAAGAGGAAAAAATGAGAAAAAAAACGGAAAATTAGAGAAGAAACCAATCAAGTTTGCTTGAAAACATAAAAAAAAATCTCTGGAAAAATCGTCTTTCACGTAAAATCGAACTTTTTTCTTCTATTTTTCCTCAAAAAAAAAAAACAAACATCATTGAAAAAACGAAAGAAAGAACCACTCTTCAGTCTTCAAAACGACGATTCAACAGTCTTTCTAGCCAAGCTGTTCCAGTCGCATCCAAAAATGGTTCAAACAAATCATTTCAATGGTGCATTGTGATGGGTCTGACCAGAAATAAAAATAGTTTGGTTACGAAATGCTATTAAAACAAATTTGGAATAGAAACGATTAGATCTTTATGCGTTCGACCCGAGTCAGCTTTGGATGAGCGCACAATTAAATTAATTCGAGCAAATCAAGCATAACCGATCATTATTTTGGATTGCTTTCTCTCATGCTTCTAATTACTCTCGAAATGCAAGTCGAAAAGTTCTAAAAACGTAAAAATTCTTATGAAATCGTGATCATCATCATGATGATCGGCGTGGTTGGGGTGAAGCCTCACCATGCCATAATAACATTTTGTAGTCATTAGTAGTTAAATAATAGTCTATTGACTGATCACCATAAAACGGTTGATGTGCGCTCACGCGCTTGCTCAGCATTCTCTTGCACAACATCATTGTTCAGTTGGTGAATTTCTCCGAGTCTTTCGTGCATCAGTTATGTTCCCTTTGAACAAGCAAACATGCTCTTTTCAATCGACCAAAAACACAAAATCCATTTATGGTAAACGCGTGTTTTAATTCTCCGCTCTCTCTCTATCTCTCTCTCGTTGTAATTCGAGAGAAAGAAAATGTTCTTGGGAGAAAAGAACACACATCTCATTCTGATTAATTAAAATACAAAAGACGCAACAATGAATTGCAGTCGCACTTTTTATGTAACATTATTAATTACAAGTGCGGGACCGCTTTCTTCGGATATTTGCTTTGTAACGCTTTGTTTTCTTTATTCTCTTGCCATATGAGGGCTTTATGCTTTGGATAATTTCTGCCTTTTTTTATCGTTTAACGATTCAGTTTTCATTCACCTATTTACATAAGCATTTATTGTCAGGTATTTTTGCGTTTTTTTTTCCATTCGCACTGACTCAGTACTACTGGGATAGAGACTGAATAGGTAGAGAGAGGGGTAGAGTACTTGTATAAAGCAACACATGTGATAACTGTTTTATTTCATAGCAAAAGTAAGTTTTAATTAAGTTCGAAGAAACTCAAGCGCACGAGCAATAAAGCAACGACGCTAAATGCAAACAAAGTACAATTCTTACCCAAAGAAATTGCTGTTTGAACGCATGCGCGCGCGCGCACGGGGGATAACGATAGAACAGACAAAAAATGCACAAAACCGTGAAATATTTGCTGCCAATTCAATGGCGACGATGACGATGGCGGTTTAGTACAAGTCCAATTGAAGCAATGCGAGGGAGTGAGATGGAGGAAGAGATAATGATTGTGTGTGAGAGGGAGAGAGCGAGTGAGAGAAAGCAGGTGAGGTAGAAAAAGATTGTATGAGAAAGAGAAACAAAAAATATAAGAGAAAAAAGTGTGAGAGAGCGAGAAAGGAAAGAGTTTTGAAGTGAGAAAGAGACAGAAATAGAAAAGAATGTGGGAGCGATCGTAAGCAAGAGAGAGAAAGACACAAAAAGACGGAAATTGCAGAACAGAAGAAGAAGAAGCAATGAAAAAAATGGTATAGAATTTTGCGTTTGCCATGCACAAACATATAATTTCTTGCTAATCGTAATTAATATGCGGAAAAGTAAAAGAACTTAAATGCAAAATCAAGCGCACGTAGATACCGCAAGAATGAGCAAATCAACGAATACTTAATGAATTGTTCAGTTGCACCGTTCGAATCGTTTGCTGAACGATTAAAGCACGAGCAGCGAGCACACACACACACACACACAAAACGCACAAAAAAAAGGAATTCCAAGCATTGGCCAACCGAAGATATACCATTTTTAAACGCCGATTTTATCGGACAGTGGAGATACTGAAAGTACTGAAGGGAAAACAAAAAAACGGATGACTCTTGATATTGATATAACACATTTTTAACTGTGTCATCATTTTGATTAAGAGCACCGAAATAAACTCAACAACTGCCACAATTGAATATGACGGTGGCGGCAATCGCACACACCAACCTAATCATTATCTCAAGTCATAAAATGCGCCGTTCTATATAAACAATTGCGTAAATTGCGATGTGTGGCTTCTCAACAGTTTTTCTGTTGTTTCGTTCGAATTTCAAATGAAAATAATAAAAAAAAACACCTCCGTCCCACTAGAAAGTGAGCAATTTGTATGTGTCCTTGAAATATGCGTGTATATTGTGTGTGACCGGCAAATGTGAACGGAGACTTTCGATGATGACAACACTGCACTCAGGCTAATTATCGTACTGTCTGCCGATGAGATAATCACACGAGCGGACGAGAATCTTGGCTCATGATGCGGCATACAGAGAGGCCGGGAGAGAGAAAGAGAAAGAAATGTCAAATCCATTAACACATCCTCAATGATGTGATCATTCGTCTGCAATAAACGAATTGCTACAATTTTTTTTTTCGCTGGTTTATTGAACGATTCTCAGCTTTTTACACACATTTTTGACACAAATCCGTGAACAACTTTTTTGCACGTGCAATTAGAACCGTTTTTTCCATGATCCACAGCAAAAAATTGTTGATCGGAATTTTTTTTGACACTTTTTCGGGTTTTGACATGTTGATTTTATGTTTGAAATCAATATTGATACTACTGATACCTAACTGTTGTTTTAGTAGCATTAAACTTTCTTTCTTCGTTTTTTTTCGGAATGATTTTTTTCTTCAGTTAGAAGAAATCATTTTTTCGTTAATTTAAGTAATTTTACCATTTGCACTCAAAATTCAATTTTTAAAGTCAAATTCAGTTTGAATCTGATGTAATTTTTTCAAGAATAGCAAATTTTAAGATCGAAAAACCGAATTTTTCATTCGAAAAACTAAAATCGAGGAGCAAGATTCAAAATTCGACAAAACCACCAAACAGAAGGAACCAACAAGTTATTAAATAAAGAAACTAACTTCCAAAACCAAAGAAGGAAATCCATCAATACAATATTCTTCGTCTCTACCCGGCGCCAAAAAATGTTGATCAATATTTTCGACAAAAAAAAACAAAGGATGATCAAACAATGTTTGATCAAACCTACAAGAGAAAAAAGCGACTCATTCAAAAAAAATTGTGCGCAACATTTTCATTTCGCTGAATGAATCGTAATCGAGCGTCGATCTAAAAATAGAACCTATTGTTCTTGAGCTTCACTTGGGTGGGCCTTTGGAAATAAAAACTATTTGTTTTTTTTCTGGGCGATCAATTGAAATGCGTAACGTAAGTTGAAACGACAATAAAACGAATCCATAACGTGCCGATTCGATTGGAAATAAAATCGATTGTACAAATCGACGATTATAATAATTTTCGAATAAACAAAATATGGTCAAACATCCGATTCAAACACATGTCACACGAATTCCAATTAAGGCCCAAAGAAAAGGAGGAACCATCGATTTTGTCGCAGTGTTCACCGCATGACTGGAAATCGATTTTCGCAAAGTCTGGACAGTGTCTGAAGATCATCCAACGAAATCTTCAAGAGTATGAAGATCTTTATAATGTCGACAGTTTTGAAGTTTGGGTCAATTGCAATTGAAAGTTCTTCTGAAATCCCTATTTGAAAATGAAATAAAGCACTGCCAAAAGTTTTTGGCCCAAAACTCCTATTTAAACATTTCAAGGTGATATGCGATCAGTTCCAGTAAATTAAATCTTATATCGATTCAGTTTGTTTTAATTTTTTGGTTTCGTCAATCATTAATCTCTTTCCTCCTGAATTAACTGAAACTGAAGTGAGCCACCATTGAAAATTCGAGCTGATGCGAATTTCACCTGAAGATTGAAACTGCAGCTGAAACTATTTTCGGGATCAAAACTGATCTCAAGTGATCAAACATTGAATATTAATCGAAAAAATATTTTTGTTCACTCATTTACATAAATATTAATTTTGATTACATAATCAAACTTCGAATATCAACGTTAGTATTAGTATAAAACGATATCATTCGCAGTGTTCTGACTGTTCTGACCGCTTGATAAAAAGCTTCATAAGCCTAGATCATTCTTAATGAAAAAAAAAAGTGTTCATTCCGTGCAAACAGTTGTAATCTTGATCTAACAAAAAATCACAGCCATATCACAGATTACCGCATAATTTTGCACGAAATGCAATGCTATTTTTGTCTCTGGTCACCCCTCAAATGGATTTGCCTGTTTTTGCTTTGAATATTTTGTGAACAAAAATGAAGCGACGGTTTGCAAATTTAATTGAAGCACACTTTTAGATGTGCTATTCACGTTTTCCATATTAGACAAATTACCCGCTAGGAACAATTCGTTTTGGGTAAAGAGGTGCGGGAGAGCGACGAAGAAAATACAACACGGCAAGCAAACAGATCTTAAATGAAAAGGTAAATATATTGTTTGTTTTGAAGAACACACGAAAAAAAAGGTTACATTGAATTTCAATTGGAGTGATTCCGGTCGGTGTGTATGTGTGGCTGGTACCATGATTTAAATTGGAACGAGTGAGCAATTCGGAAGCAGATGATATAATCATATTTCATTATCTGTCTCTCTGTCTCTTTCGCTCTCACTGTCTCTTTCATTCTCGCTCTTGCTCTTCCTCTTGCTCTGTTCGTTCATTTACTCGCTCACTCGCTTACTCGCTTATGCTTACTAGCTCGATCACTCGCTCATTTGTTCGGTCTCAATCTCTCGCACTTGCTGTTTTTCCTCTAAATCACCAACGTAGCATAAAAAAGCGCGTTTTTATGCGTTTTGTCATTCGGCATGAGGTTTAAATTACGATTCTTATGAATTATGAACCTGCACCCATACAGTACACCACTTTGATTCGAATCAGGTTTAAAATGTACGCGATTGTTTTTTTTTTTCTTCCTATTCTCGGTTCAACTCGTATTTATTCGAATCAACACACCGCGCCATACGTCTATAACCGTGAAAAATTGCGCTCATTTACTCTGTGTCTCTGCCTATATGTCATTACCTGTTTTTAAAACTATTGTTACCATTATTATTACGTCAAATAATATTTGTTTATTTATTCCGTCGCGCGTATATGTAACATACACACCACTATCGTTGCCGTCGTCGTTGCCATTTGGCTTTGTTTTCACGCATGCCATTCGTTGTTCGATTGTGTCGTTTTTTATACACACACACACACACACCGTTTTTTTCTGCCTTTCCTTTCATTTCGAATAATCTCCACATCGAATTATAATAATATTTCCAGTAAATTACTCATCAAAATTTATTTGTTCAGTTGAAAATGACAACGCAGAAAATGGGAAAAATGTAGAATAATGATGAAATAAATAGAGAGAAAAAAACCACCTCACAGTGACTAAGAACTTAATAAAAGAAGGTAATCTTAGTGTATTGAATGCAACGGCGTTGGTCAGCTGATCGTTGAAAATTGGTATTGCGCGCGTACTCTGGAAATGAACGACGACAGCACACACTGAGAGAAAACAAAAATAGTTATTCCCATTGCCCAAGAACAAACGTCGTCGTCGTCGTTGTTGCCGCGGCTAATTTCAAAACTTGAACATTTTTCGTGAACAATACGTTGTGAGTGCGCGCGCGCGGGTGAGCGCCCATCGAGTCGCCCGTAAACAGTGAGATGAAGCGCATGCATGCGTAAAATCCAGGTTGAACGTGATAAATGACGGTTTTCGGACAAATATGACGAGCAAATTGAATTCTCTTTGCGTTTTCCATGATGAAATAGTTCGTTTTTTTTTCTCTCCTCGTTTTTTCCAACTTTTATTCTCACTCTACTTTTAATTCCGTTTCGTTGCCGGAACCATTTTGAATTACAAATCAAATGCCTGGGTCATTCCCAGATTGAGAAAAGGGAAAACAAACGAATGAGTAGGAAAAAAAATCGTAAATACATTTTAAATAGGCGGAATTTTCAAGATTCAGTTTGTTTTCCTCTGTGTGACTCGATTTTGAGAACAATTGCATCTTTTGACCAGCGGAAAGAATCGTGGAAAGTGAAAAATAGACATTCTTTCGTTTCTAAGGAGAATAAAAACTTCACTTCTATTGAGAATCGACATTTCACATTAGATCATTGAATAGAAATTTTACCTTTATGTATTGAGTCGAAAAAAAGTGAAAGAGTCCGAAAATTTTATGGGAACAAAATGCTCAAAAAAGAAAAAAACGATATCGATTTCCGGCCGCATAATTTAGATACCTAATGAGACTGTGGACGCGCTCCAATAATTTATGACATTAGGATTCATTTTATATACTCGATGTGGATATTTTTATGCATTTATTAATCATTCGGTTGAAGTGGCAGGTCATTGACGGGTGTCATGCATCACGCTTGAATCACCATACCAAAAATTATCGTAGATTTCTATCGCTTTTGTTATGAAATAGTATTTTCTCGTCTCTAACTCTAGCTGGGGCTCTGTCATTTCTCTGTCGGTTCTTTTTTCTCTTTCACAGAGACTATGTGGCTTTGGCTTCATTTAGATTTGGCTTAGGTTCCAGTTCTAGCTTTAGCCTTGTCTCGTTTTGTTAGAAAATGATTGTTCTCTGTTTCTCTTGGTCTAACTCAGTCTTCCTCTGTCCAATTTGTTTCAAGTCTCTCTCTACCTCTGTCCAATCTACTCTCTCTTTCCCTCTGGCTAATCCGTTTGTATTTCTTGCAGTCTAACCCGTTCTGAGTCCATCTCTTTCTCTTTCTCTCTCGCTTTCTATCTCTTCCTTACTCACGCTCTCCCTTTAATTCCCCGTATCTATCAGTCAGTCTATTACTCAGTCGCTCATTGCCTCATTGCCTCACATTTCACATTTTCTGAGTGATTATTCACATTATGACCTATGGTATTTACTAAACATTTATTCATTTCCTTTTTAAAATCCATCTCGTCGGCATTTGTGCACGAAATGACGCTGCGATAAAAATAGAACGAAAGTAAAAATGACCGTAGTATGATGATACCATGTGTGACAATGGCATTCACAATAACAAATAGCGCGAATTGGTTTGTTTTCTGTATGCCAAAAACGGTCGGTGATGAGCAAATGAATCAAAACGGTTTATTGAGATTTATGATCGCACATCGGCCCACCAACACACAGACATACATCAGGCGAAACCAGACATTTTTGGTCGTATACAAACTGAAATAAAAACATAACATTTATTAGGTGTAGAAGATTTATAAAAACGACGGGCTGTTTGTCGACGGCTGAAAACTATTAGATCATACTAATCGATGTTGAGTCTAGGGGGATTTAACTACGTGAAAACTTGTAAAAAAATGATATAAACGCGCACGAAATTGTTACATTCACCAGAGAACTTGCATGATTCCACTCAGTTGACAAGTTCCGTATTAAAACAACATGCGCGAACGCGCGCGAGTTCGTGTGCAAACTTGTAGCTGGACGACGCGCACACATCAGTCGTTCCATTTATTATATCTGGATTAACTTTTTCTTCAACACTTTCTCCAGCTCTTTAAAAATATTTCCTTTGTCCATTTTATAATTATAAAAATCTTTGAACTTTTGGAAAGGATGTGAAAAATCTTTATACACGTAAACAACCGATTTTTAGCTTGAAACGCGTTTTAATTGTCAAATAACAACTTGAAAAACGCGCAAAACCATAAACAAACTTGTGTAAACTTGTGACCGTGCGCGTCAGTACGTACAAGGAACGCGTCGAACTCCCGCGAATCAAGCAAACTGGCAAAAAACATGCTGAACTCGTAAGAGTTAAATTCCCCTAGTGTTGAGTCAATTTTCTAAGCTTTTTTTTTCAAATATCGAATCGACTAATTATTAGGTATTGGCATCATGAGTATTTCCTAAACGTATTGACTTTTATCTTCGGCATCGACATCGGAATGTACAATTTGCACATAGTTTTCAGTCGAATCAAATCGACCGACAACTTTATAAATGATTCGCATAGCATTGGTCATTGTTACTCGTTTTCATGGAATAACTAATAATCACAACGCTCGTAATTGGTTGATCGTTCGAACGCTTAACGACTCTCGTAAAGAGAACATATTGGAAAATTGTTTACTTACCTGTAATTATAGCACATCATTATCGCGAATCATCAGCAGCAGTTTTCGATTTCTCGATAAATACACAACGAAAAAAAAAAAAAACAACAACAACAAAAATCAATTTGAACAGATAAACGGCGCTCGATAAACCATAATCTTGGAATTGTTAACGATTCTGTAAATGTTATTGCATTTTCAATACACATTTCGAACGAACAAACGAACAAATTATACATATTCCATTGTTTTCTCATTTTTGCAATGAAAACACACTCGCACAAGTTATCATTGGATAATGTGCATACGACCGACGCTAATTTTACACAAAGAAACATTTTTCGTTAGAATATTATGTAAGGTGCACGTTGAAAATTGGTGATTTTTGCTTAACATATATTTAAATTGCTAATCGTTTTGCCAACTTTTATGATCATTTTTTTATCTTTCGCTTCGCTTTGCTTTCAGAAATGGCTGGATTCAAGTATACGTTGGGCATCAATGAGCTGTCGTCGAGAAAGCATAAACTCACAAATGCATTGCTCGCCGAATTTGTGGGTAAGTCGATATTGTGATTGCATAAGGTTTTGCTAGAGTCTCGAGTATTGCTAGACACTCTTTTATAATTGCACGTTAAACTCTTATGAAGGTTTTTACTTCAATCTTTAACTTTGGTCTTTACTTTACCTATTTATGCATTTCAATTTGAATTTCATTTCCTTCTTTTCGAGAGCAAAATTCGAATCAACCCGGAGTTTTACAAATCCGGAATTTCGTTGTAATAAAGAAAACCATTTGGATTATCAGTGACGTCACTTTACAAGACATTCAAGTCAACTTTACTTTACTTTTCAAGTAAACAAAAACGCCCAATGACATTCGACTCGAATGATTCGAGTGAAGGAAACCCCACTGACTTCAGTCAATTTGAACAAAAACTTTATTGTCTGGATAAAATTTCAAATCTATCGATTGAGTTTTCCAATGAACGTTTTGCTTGATATCATCAAGCTATGACATCAAGTTGATGTGAGAAAAATCCAAATAAAAGGTGCATTTCTGGGAGAATCACTGAGATAACATCTTCAATCAGTCAATCTTTTTATCACCCTTCATCGATCGACGTGAAAAAATCGGAAATCACCGATCAAAAATCATGAATTTCATCTTATTCCGAATGAGTTTCCGGTTAAAATGACCCAATTAGATTCAATCAACTATGCAATATTGTTCATGCAATAACCATGAGCATGCAAAGCTTTTTTTTACTAATTCTTCGACTGATTCAATAATCAAGTGATCAAAAGGAGATATGAGATGTCCAATATTTTATTTTTATTCAACACCGCTGGCTGAATAAAGTAAAGATTTAGAGGTAAATATGTGACTTTGATGAAAAAAATACAAGAAAGAGCCATTGTTTCAATTGACAATTTTGAAAATTCAGAACGAATTTTGTTAAAATTGATTTTTTTCTGATAAGAAATCATAATCAATCTATAAAAATGTGGAAAAATACGTCCAGAAAAAATGCAGTTTTTGATCAATTTTTCGTCGCATTTTTAAGAGTTCCTGTTCTTCTCAATCGATTATTATTTAATTCCAAACCGCCATTTCAATCATTATTTGGTCAAATATACTTGATCTTCAAGAAAAACAAATTATTTAAAAAAAAAACATCAAACCGAATTTCTTGGACATTTTCCAAAACTGCTCAGTTTCAGACGGTTTCAGAGTATGAAATTGAGAGTGAAACTACCAGTTTTCAAAGAATGAGCTGTCATTTTTTAAATATTTTTTTTTTGTCATTCAAGATTTTTCTTTAAATCCAAAGTGCAAATAGAATAGGCTCATAGTTGCTTATAAGCAAGTATAAATAATGTAAACAACAATTCTCAACACATAAATTGATCACACAAATTCTCTCACTATATCTAATTTCAATTCCAACCTGTAGGTATATTCCTATTGAACTTTTTTGCGTGTGCTGCGTGTACGTTTGGTGATAACACGACGATGTCATTTGCGTTTGGTTTGACTGTTTTCGTGGCCGTTATGGTAAGTATTGGCTTGTTTTTTTTTTTTCTTATATTACGCTTGTTTTACACGCGTCGGCAAAAGGTGTTGTGAGTTGCGAAAAATTATATGTCCAAATGGATGCATCCATTTTTGGGAAAACGTTAAATTGGCATTAAAAACAAATGCATACGGTATAATGGGTTGCGTGTGTATGTGCTGCCTGATAAATGCAAGTAGAACACGTCAAAAATGATTGAAATTTAAGTTCATATCTCAATTGTTCTATTCGTGAACGTGTTAATTTTGTGCTTGCAGTGCTTTGGTGTGCTCGTGCGCCTATTCTCACACAATTTTCGATCGAACGCAACAAGTGATCAAATTCATTGGAGGCAAACACACACGGGGAGAGAGAGAGAGAGAGAGAGAGAGAGAGAGAGAGAGAGAGAGAGAGAGAGAGAAATAAAAATCAATATTGTGCTACTGGTAAAGCAAGAAAAAAGCAAACAAGGTATGAATTTCACTTGGTAATATGATCGGATGTTGTGTGTGGCGAGACTCCGTATAATTAAAACGAGAATAGTTTCAGCGTCCAAACAACGTGCAGAGCTGTAAATAGGCAAAAGCACCAAGCGATTCGAAAAAAAACGCGAGCAAATGGATTAATCCAGCCAATTCGTTGGTTTTTTTTTCTTTTGTACGCGTGAGAGAAGGAGAGATAGAGAGAGATAATGGCAATTATTTTGCGGTAAACGTTTAAGAAGAGCACACTTATCAATGCAAAACGTGACAATATTCGATTAGATATGTACTGTTAATTCAGCTCAGCGAGCGAGCGCTCGCCCTCAGTAACCGCCATACACATTGTTTCTTTCTCTCCTTTTTGTTCGTACACATTATCAGAGTGACGTCTCATTGTGGGCCTGTGTGTGATCGAATTTCGTTTTACCTCTGAAATTCATTATCAGTGAATAAATTTCTAAACAATCGATTCCCTTCTCTCACCAAGGGAACAAATGAATGTTGACAACAAACGATGATAGTAACGAATTTTAGCTACCGTAGAATTTGAGCGCGAGAAAAAAGCATACAACTCGATTGATTGATAAGTTGACGAAAAAGGTAATCGTCTACGGTATTTTTTTTTGTCATCGTAGACGTCATCGTTGTTGTTGTTCGACTTATGAAATGGGTCGATTTGAAAAAGTGACGAGAAAAGCGTGTTGTTGCTTGCTATTGAAATATTAAAGGCAATTTTTCGCTGTTTACATTTCCATCCAAAATAACCAAATTTGTGCACAAGTCACACATTTGTCCATCAAATTCAGCGCGAATTGTCATAGAGCATAAACCACGAAACAACAACAAACAACACGCATCGAGCACATATGAGCGTTTTGGAATTGACGTGTTCTGACCGAAATACCAAAGATCAACTCGGTGCTTGTTTCTACCCATGTTCAAACCGAGAAAAAAAAATGAAACGCTGCCAAACCGACGTACACGAATCGTACGATTTTTCTAAATGCAGCTCGGGAGCAGCAGCAGCAAAAACAAATTGGTTCTATCAATAAATTAAATGGATGTTGCATACTTTGTTGACGCATTCACGCACAGGCTAGTCATCCAAAGTTGAAGAGAGTGAGAGAGCCGATTAAGAGTCTTTGGGAGAAGAATCCAACGAGAGTCGATGCGTGCAAGGAGCGAGAAAGAATGAGAGCGAAAGATTCGAAGAGAGGAGGAAAGAAAGATAGAAAAGGAAGGAACGTGAGAGAGGGCGAAAGCGAAAGGGAAGGAGACAGAGCGAGAGAGAGAGAGAGAAAGAGAGAGTGAGAGAAGGAATTTGAGCGTGAGAGAGAAGAAACATTAACGTGAGAGCCAGAAAAAGCCGAGATATTGAGAAAAAGTCAACAAATCTGCGCTAATGAAACCATAAAAAGACGCCTGCCCAAGTTGGACAATAACGAGTCAATGAAATTCGATGTATTTTTTCCACGCATTTCAGTCGATCGTTGTTTGTTTGTCGTTTTTTTTTTTTGCTTCTTCACTGCGTTTGGCAGTGCATTTCAATGAAATTGTTGCTCTTTGTCGCTGCGATGCCATCAACTCGTACAGCACTTTGCAAGAATTTAACACGCATTTGGTTGGCAAAGGTGTTTAATCATCATTTGGATACCGTATTTTGCTGCTATTTATTTGGTTTGCTATCGTTGCACGCACACAAATATATTGCGGTATTGCGTGATTGCACAAGGCATCTTTTTTCAACGCACATTTATGGCCACCGAGAATGGCAACCGTAAAAAGAGCGGAAAAAACAACAACAACGCCGATTTGCCAATTAGATTTTTGCCGTATGTTGCGGTTAATTACACCTTTTGTTCGAGCGGGCACATCGATGCACGTGATATCTAATCCGGTGTATCAAGCTCGATATGCACATGCACACACACACACACACACAAAAACCCCGTCGAATGATAGCCCGTGGCGAATGGGTTGATTGAATTCAAACAGGAAAATCTGTCGACAAGTTCATAAACATAAATTTTTCGCACACTTTATGCATGCAAACAAATCGACAAAAACAAACACTCAAAATTGAATCATTAAAATCGAGTTTGTGTCGCTAACTGCGACTACGGCCACATTTCCAATTGATATTTAATTCCGATAATTTTACGCTGTACATACAATTAAATTTAGAGGATTTTTTCGGTCGTTCATTCGTTCGATTTTTCTTTCGTTTTTCGCACAAAATAAAGTCGTTCAAAGTTGTGCTTGGAGACATTTCGGTGTGACATTAATTGGATACTTTTGGTCGAAATAACATATATTTATTTTGTCCATTTTTTCTGTGTCCACCACCATTTAGGCAATCGGACATGTTAGCGGTGGTCATATTAATCCAGCGGTGACTGTGTCAATGTTGGTCACTGGCAAAATTAGCCTTGTACGCGCTTTGCTCTACATTTTACTTCAATGTCTTGGTGCTACGGCTGGAACTGCTTCGCTTAAAGCACTCGTGCCTGACTCGTATCACAATGGGCTTGGACATACGAATTTGGCCCCCGAATTTACACCGTTGCAAGGATTGGGCTTGGAATTCTTCCTCGGATTCATTCTCATTTTCACCATTTTTGGCGTTTGCGATGGCAATAAACCAGGTAAGAACCGATTGAGTGATTGACCTTTTTTTTCTAAATTCTTTCGCACATTGAAAATTCGATTGAAAGTTCTTTTTTTCTTTGATTCTGTTTGAAGATGACCTTCTTTTACCAAAAATCACCACAGAATTGTCAAATTCAGGTTTATTCGAATGTTTGAACAATATTCGTCTCACCCATCTTTGATTTTGGCAGCTCTAGGCATGAGTCTGAATATAATCACGATTTTTTGCTTAATAAGGCTCGTTTTTCGACATTTCAAGATAAAAATTTCACTTTTTTCTCCTGATTTTGATTCTTTTATGGAACATTCCGAAATATTTCAACTGACAAAATCTTTCAAATGCAATCGATTTGTATTTATGAATTAAAATTGCCCTTGATTTGTCTCGCTTCAGACTCAAAATACGTTGGACCATTGGCGATTGGATTGGCCGTTACGGTTGGACATTTAGGAACGATCAAATAGTAAGGCATTGTTTTTAAAACGGGATGTAAAGAGAATATGTCTAAAAATCGTTTATTTTGCCTCTATCCATCTGCAGTACCGGCGCTAGCATGAATCCAGCTCGTACATTTGGAACAGCTGTCATCACCCACACTTGGGAAAATCACTGGGTATGATCACATCAAAACGGTTTCGTTTTCGTGCCTTTTGTAGATTTTTCACCTTTTTGTGGATCCTATTTTCGTTTCCATCTTCGCCAATTTCGTTCTCAATTATTCAATTTTTTCTTCTTTTCCCTTTTTTTTCATGCAACTATAACCGAACCTGTGCATCGATTCAAAACCTCGATACAGATCTACTGGGCCGGTCCCATTCTAGGTGGTGTGGTTGCATCATTGCTGTATACACAAGCCTTCAGCGCTCCGGAGAATCAGAATGAAAATGATCGCAGTGGCAAATACCGTACCGATGCCACCGAAAAAGAGGTGAGACAAAGAACACTTGTACTATAGCACATAGAAAACACTAACTAAGCACACACACATACATTAGCGGTTCAAAGCACCGAATAAAAAAGGGATTGAAAAAATATCGCAACGGTGAATCGAGAGTTCATCGGATAAATTTGAACGAACAGAAAAAAAGTGGGCGTGCAAAAAATGTTCGTTGTACTAGTTCATAAATCATTTGCAGCCCTTCACACGTACATATACATAGATCAGTTCATCACGCATTTTCAAACTGAATTAAAAAAAAAGAGCCGAAGATGAAGAGAAAAATCATCGCAAAAATACTCATTATGTATCAATTCCGATCAGATGTTGTCCATTTCCTTTTATATAGATATAAATGTTTTTTTTTTTCAAAGCTGTGTGTTATTTTTGTCTCGCCATTACTTTTTTTTGTAAATTTTCATTTTTTGTTGTTGTTGTTGTTGTATATGTGTCGTTACTTTATTACTTCATTGTGAATGAATCGAAACAGTCAATTAGTTTTGTGTATTGAATTGAAAACAAACAAATAGAATCAAAATTAGAGAAAAAAAAACAAAAATCCAATAAATGTAAATGCAACTTGTTTATGTTTGTGTCCCTAATTATTCTTTCTCTAAACCGATCTTCTTTTTAGGAAAAATATTTAGATGTCAAGTACATTGATGACGTTTGAACAGAAAAAAAATAATGTAAAATCACGAGCCATCTATCAAATGTGAGTGAGCGCAAGTACGCGCCCGCTCACCTCAATCAAATTCAGTTGTGTTTTATTCCTAAACAATTTATTTTTTGTGCATAAGTTTCATTTTGTTGTTGTTGTGTGTGGATTGATCGGAATAGAAAGTGAGAATGACGCTTGCTACCCGTATCGCGCCGATTGTGAATCACAAATTGTTCAGACCAAACGAATAAATCTAAAAACAAACGAACGAACAATCTAAATCAAATATAGCAAAGAGCTACCGACAAATTACGCAAAAATATCATAAATCATGACAGTCTGTCATTCAACCGCTCTTTTCCAATGAAAATGTTATCAATTATCAAAATGTACGTACATGAGAAGAACACAAATTAAATGGTTTTTATGCAATTGCCTCTAAAATGTTTGTCATGCTTGTCTCTGTCTCTCTCTCTCTGTCTGTGTGTGTGTGTCCTGTGTTTATGGTTTTAATCAATTGTGTGACGTTCAATTTCATTAACTTATGACTGGGTTATTCAATGAATGTTAAGCTCTTGATAACAGCACCTGAGATCTTTTTTTTTCTAATTATTTTTTAGTTTTTTTCTTTGTTTGTTTGACGTTGTTTGAAACATTGAATATGCCGATCAATTTACACTTGTTTTATGTCTGTTTGAAGTGTGCTCATTGAATGTGCTAACCCAAGTACTTCGAGTCGTTTGTGTCGCGGCTTTTCAACAACATTTGCTAATCACAACCCTGTTCCATCGACGTTTTCAATCGACGCCTCATTATTTAATATTGACCATATTTTCTTACTTGTAGATTTCATTTTGCTTCATCGTCATTCATTTTTGATCTTGCCCTTTGATCGTTTGCATCTTCAGTATTTCACATTTTTTTGCATCTTCAGTTTTTCCTCGCACTTTTTTTTACATTCTTAATCGCATTTTTCTATAGGTTTTCATTGCATGTTTTTGCTTTTTCATTTTTTTTTTTACATTTTTTACTTCTCCATGTTTTCCTTTTATCAATGACAAAGTCCGTGTTACCTTGATAAAGTCAGTGAGTGTACATTTTTATGCATCTTGATCATATTTTTTCCTCATGTTTTGTCCATTTATTGCTTCTCGTTTATTTTTCGCTAACTTATTTGTCATTGCATGGTGTAGCATAGATTTGTGTTTCATAGCATAATAATGTCAGAGCATAAGAGTCTACTGCATGAGCCTGAAACTGCACAGCCTTAGAATGCATACCAGTTTGGTGTTTTTTTTAGAGTAGATGTCTTCACATGGAATGTAGGTTACCATTTTGAATTTCGTTTTTCCGTTTCTATTTTGAATTATTTCAATATCATCTGAATCCAATCGACATATCCATACGTTCACACAGTCGAAAAAGTAAATAAATCGTTCGCTTCATCAAATCGGAGACAGAGAATGGTAAGAAAATGCGCCGTGTCACCGATTCGCTAAGCTATTCGACAAATGCGTTTAGTAGTTATTATTTGCTTTGGGTGTTGTTGTTTTTTTGGTTGCACATTAGGGCGGATCGATTTTTAAAACCATATTTCCACATAGCATGTATATTATCCGTTGTATACTATTCACTGGGTACTATTCATTGGATAGTATTCATTCGATACCATGGTATCCACCCGGGTTCTTCCATAAGCGAAAAGCGGTCTCCAAATAAAAAAAGTTTGTTCCACAATTTTGGCCACAAAGATCTCTAAGATGCCTCAGGGTATTTAGAAACGATTCTCTGGGTGGTGACCTTGGACGTTTTCGTGAACAAATCCAGACATCCGTGGATCTCTTAAAAATTTGAGGTTGTGCGGCACAACTTGTGCCTAAGATTCAAGCCTTGGTTTGGTCATTCATCACTTTCCGACGGTCAATACAGTGCCAGTCAAAAGTCAAAAAAAAAAAATCCTCACTTTTAGTCATTCTCATCCATATTTAGTTCATATATGAATCAAAATAATAAAAAATCGATTCGCCCTATGTATATAACACACAAGGTCTTCACACGCCACATACCGCACGGCTTCGATTTCGAAGCGACACCGAATTTACTGCACCTGTAATTTATTCACCTGCATTTTATGTAACTGATTTGATTTGCATTAATTTTGTCGTTCGCATGCACCAAAACTACATTTCAAACCAAAAACACACAATCCATAGAACAAATGATGCACAAAAATAGAGCGATTTTGTAAATATAAATGCAAAAAAGAAGGGATCAAATTGATTTGAGCCGCCGTTTCATCAAATGAAACAAAATACTGTGTAAATAATTTATAACATGGACCAATCTGCCTTCAATATCGTGTCTTCTTTCTCGTTTCAGCTTCGGCGTCTAGATCGTGTCGCTTAATTTTATTTAAGTTCGAACGAAAAAAAAAAAGAAAATTCGCACGCACACAAACACAAACACACAAAGACAGAATTAGAAAACCGATTTTGTAGTGTCTCGCGACAATCACAAATTTATGCCGAACAAAAAAAAAATATTTACAAATTTCATTCCGATCAAGTATTGACAATGCATGAAGAATCAAACAAATTAGAGAAAAACAAACTACTTACACCTTATTGTATCGCTCGTAACTCGGCCACTCGATGCCGACAAATTCTTTTCTCTTTCTTTTTGTAGCCCTTAAGATTCAATAACATTTACATTCTCCTAGCGTTAGACAGACAAATTATTTCTTCCATTTTTTTTTTAATATAGCATTCCAATTTATTATAACATACCATTGTAAAATGAATTTTACCAATGACAACCGTTCGTTTTTCGACTCTAAAACAACGTTTTATTTTCGATTTGAATTTTTTTCAATGTGTTTGGTAAAATTTATTGATATCTATATATGCTTTAAGATCTATATTTACGATTTAATTTACTCTCTTTTTTTTGAATGAAAAAAGAAGCGGCCGACCAAAAAACAAAACAATTATTTACGAAATTTACTAATAAAAATGCAGAGATGATATCTATTTACACGAAACTTTTCGTTTTATTTTCTTTTATTCAACTGGTTTTTGGTTACAAATTAAAATATGCTCAAAGAGAAAGTTTTATATAAAACGAGCCACGGTAAGCACTTTTTTTTAGCTCTTCTACAAATCTACAACACATTTTTTTTTTAAAGCAATTAACTATTGATTTCTTCTTGTTTCTCTACAGAATTTTGCCATTAAAATTGACATTTTTGACCTTTTTTATGAGAAAAGTAAATTTATGTGACATTCTTTTGATTTAAATCAAAATGACAACGAAAAAATCAAGATGAATACAAAAAAAAAAGAAAATTTTTTGTTAAAAAATTCAACTTAAATGAGATTTGAGAACAAATTCCATATATTTTACTCTTTTAATCTGAGGATAGAGAGAGAAACCCAAATGAACCATTTGCGGAGATATCCAGTGTACAGCGGAGCTGTGCGGAGTTCGGAGGAGATACCGTACATACGCTATACGTGTGAGCGAAACAGCACTCTTTGCTGTGTTTACATTTCTATTGTTCAATACACATCTAAGTAGCCATGAGCGCACTGCTTTAGATATAGTGTATGTATGGCATCTCCGCCGAACTCCGCACAGCTCCGCTGTGCACGGAATTTCTCCGCAAATGGTTCACATGGGAAGTGATGGCAATTTTTTGAAAAACGCTTTTCAGATATTTGTTTTCTTTTCATTCCGGAACTTTTACAAAAGTTTTTCGTTTTAGACATTTTCAAGACTTTTTTCATTCCGAGAAAATTTGATTCTCTTTTAAGAGGAATTTCAATTTTTTTTCGGAAATCTTGCCCACGCAATGAAAAGAAAAGAAAAAAGTTTGTTCAAAAAAAAAATCTGAATTGAACTGATGTGATTGTCATTTTAGTGATCATTTCCATTGTTAGCAATGGAATTGCAATTGCAATGCTAAAAACTACCGAAAAAAAAAACTAAAAACTACTTAAAAGAAGGAAATACAAATGTCAAAAAGTTTCTGAATCGAATTGACTTGTTGGCACTGTAAGTGTGCTGAACATTCCGGAGCCGTTTGATGTACCATAGAATCATGGCATCAACAAAAGTCATTGTCCAAAGACTTATCTTCCGAACGCCAAATCGATTACTTTTTCTTTGGTGAGTTTTTTTTGATGATCACTTGATTGCCGCGCATTTCGATTTTGCCCTCTTTCGTGAGTGCATCAAGTTGTGCTTTGGTCATGCGAATTTGTTTGACTTTGACCAATTTATTGCCGACTTTAGTGGTGGTGACTTTCGCATCATCCTTGTTGATCGTTTTCAACGTTGGTAATGGAATGAGTTTCTTGAGCGTTGGTGTGTTGGAATCGCTTTGTTCATCCGATTTGGGTTTGATGGTAAGGAATTTGGTGAGTGAAGTTTGTGATATGGTTTTTTTAGCTGGAGCCGTCACCGCTACCGTTGGTGTTTTTTCCGGTGTAATCGATTTGCTGGGTGAAGTTTTGCTCGATCGTGTACTGATGGGTTTTTCGAATGTTTTCTCGTTGGCTGGTGGTGCAATTTTCGACACTGAAGCTCGAGTGTTTGGAGAACGAACCGTAGCGCTCGGTGTATTTGAACTGTTTTCCTCCAATTTAACCACAGGTTTTGTCGTTTTGACAATCGGTTTGGCGGTGGCTTTTCCATAGCTACGATTGGCCGGTTTCGGTTTCGGTGACACCTCATTCAGCTCTTCGGGTGTTATGACCTCAACTTGTTCGGTGTATTCAATGATTTCATCCGATTCCGGTTTGACCGATGCATATTCAACACCTTCTTCATCAAGACTCTCCTCATTCGCATTCGCCATGTCGTACAATTCAATCTCTTCCAAGTGCTGGGTGTCACTGTGCTCGTGCAATTGGGTCTCGGTCAAAAAGATTAAATCGCAGAATTCGCAGGCAAATTGCTCGCCTTCGGTGTGCTGTTTTATATGTTCGGAAACTTCATCGACACTTTCAAATGTTGTCTTGCATAGTGGGCATATGAGATTTTCCGTTGCATGCAACGACGAATGAGCAACCAATTCGTCGCGTTTTCCAAAGGAGAGATCGCATTCCGTGCATTTGTGGATGATTTGACTATTTTCTTTGTGAGAACGCATGTGCCGCGTTAAATGATGGCTCAGCAAATAGGATTTGTCACAAATTCGACATGGATATGGACGATCGCCGGCATGGGCTGTTGAGAGTGGAATAAGAGAAAATTTTGTTTAAATTTAGTCTTGGATTTGATCGAATTTTTCTATGATTTTGAAATTTACCTGTCAAATGTCGTGCCAATTTGCCTTGTGTTGAGAATCCTTGGTCGCAGTGTTCACATTTGAATGGTTGATCTCTTGAATGAACAACTTCATGTCGCTCAAGGCCTTGTTTAAAAGCGAATCCCTTGTTGCACACGTCACACTTGAATGGTCGTTTCTTCTGATGGTTTTGCGTGTGTTTCTCCCATTCTTCCTTCGACAAGAATGGCCGTTCGCAATAAGCGCACAAGAATTTCGGTTGATCCGAATGGATTTTTTCGTGTCGTCGCAGCAATGTCGATCGTGAAAATGCCTTTCCACAAACCACACACTTGAACGGCTTCTCTCCTGTGTGAATCAGTTCATGTTTGCCCAAATCATACTTGCTGAAGAATCCCTTATTGCATACGCTGCACTGGAACTTCCGATCGCGTACATGATTGGCCACATGAATGTCCAACAGCTGACGCAATGGAAATGAACGTTCACAGTAATGGCACGGGAACACATTCGTTTCGACTGGTAACGCATTTTTTATTGGATCCACGTCCGACTCGTAGGTCTCCATAATCTCCGATACAACCTCAATGTTACCATCCTCATTGGTTTTTAAAATCGGCGTTCGCAACACTGGCTCAATCGATTTGATCGATGCATGTTTATTGAGGATTTTTATCGGCGCTTGCCTTACAATATTGAGTATTTTTGGAGGCGACGCCGTTATGTCGTCAGTAATTTGCTCATCGGCAAACTCAACCACCATATCCTCAATTGGTATTTCATTCTCAATCTTCGATGGCATCATTCGTTTTGGCGGCGAACTTATCGTTATCGTTTGAGGCAATTTACGCTTTAACGTTTGCGCCGTCAACGGCTCACGATCCGCATTTATCGTTTTTATCGGCTGGAAATTGAGCAATTTTTTTTATTATTTTATTCAAGGTATTTTCTGAGCTTTCAACCCATTTATTTATCAAGCGTTCAACATTGAATATTTTGTTTGGAAAATGGAACAACTGGTAAATATTATGGGTTGAATCAATTTTTTTAGTTTGGGAAAAATCATTTTTTGTATTAAAAAAATGCAGTTCTTGAAGTATTTTTCAAGTTCCATGGAAAATCATGAAATTCTTTTTTTCGATTCAATTTTTAGTCCTTTTTCAACTGTACCTGAGCTAGTTTAACCGGAAATTTCGGATGTTCCAGTCGATCGGGCCAAATTCCAGTCAACGGATACTGTTTCAACAATGTGTCAGCCTTCTTACACATTTGCTTGAATCGATAGCAGTAATCCATCAGCAATCGACATGGATAACATATTGTATTCGGCAAGTCATCATCAGCAAATACCTGGAAATAATGGATATAAGGGATATTTTGGAATCAGTTTTATTATTCACTCAAAAAGGAATGACTCCTGGAAAGAATGGTATGGAAAAATGGAATTTTTGTGACATTTTTGGACATTTTTGAAAGGAGAAATTTTTTTTCTTCACACGAAAGTTGTTTTTCCTTGCAATTGAATATCAGTTCGATCGTGTCTATTGCTGTTCAAACAAAAAGAAATCGAAGAAAATCCAGTAATTTTTTTTCTATTCTATCGAAGTTTCGGTTTGCATTTCTTGAAGCCATTTCGGGATACTTTACTGTAAGCATCATTTTCATTACACTTTCATTTTTACTTGATGTGAAAATGCATGTTAGAGAGTATCAAAATCGAGAGAGTACTATAGTACTAATTCTTACTGAAATCTATAAAATTAAGAAACGTAGATGAACGTCAAGATGTCTTCATGGAGACATAGAATCTAATATGCTCTTGGGTATGAGCAATGATCAATGCATTTTGCATCTCTCCGTTTATAGACCTTGAGATGTATTACATTTCGTTGTATCCGGTCTTCCTATGCTTGGCATAATTTTATTGAGTGATATTTTTGGTGAGAGGCTTACGAGACCATACTGCACCATACGGACAAGCCAGGCTTACACCATACAAAAAACAGAAAATGATCAACGATTCCGGAAATATTGTGAAGAATAAAAAAATTCTTTGTTGAAAAATTGAAACGAGTCGTTTTTGAGTTAAGAATCTTGACTTGTACGTGAGAACCGAAAGATATCGAGCAACCATCGTAAATAGCATATACCAACGGTATGAATGGAAATATGCTACTGTAAATGTTGAAATAAAATTCAAAAATTCTCATTCATTTTGAAATAAAAATGTTGATTTTTTGCTTAAAAACAATCATTTTCTACGTTTTTGTCGGTATAAATTTTTTTTAGTCATCCATTAGAAAAACCATCTAGTTTTTAATTTTTCTTCATAAAAAATCTATCGAGTTTATAAAAAGTCTTACAGTTTTTTTTTTAAACCCGAAAAAAGTTCACACAAACCGCGATCAACGGCAAAATGTTGAGAAAAAGTCAATCGCACACACAGTGACCGACACTAGTGTGTGAATGTTGAACGAAAATCAATGGTTTGTACCATGTTCCATGTGCACACACCCATTGGCGGCGTAAATGGTGTTGTATTGTAGCGCGAAGCGCGCTAGTTTCATGGGCAAACACATAAACGCCATATTGAAAGTCGGCAATGAATGAGTTTGCACTCGATAAAATTTTCCCAATACATACACCACAAATGAAAATAAACAACATTCGGTTCCAAAACATCAACACAAAATCGCAACTTTTTGTTTTGTTTGGTTCCATCTTCACTAGATTCACTACTAAACTGATAATTTGACATGGGAAAATGAAAAAAAGTCTGTCCATCGTAAGCATAATTTCGTTGGCATCAAATAAAAATAAATGACTTTTAAAGTGTAAACCAGCCAAAATCCCATTCGCCAATGATCTTGTTTTTTTTTCATCTTCTCTTGGTAAAAACGTACCTCAATCGAAACGCAGGCCATAATTTGCATGGTGAGCGACACTTGTGAATTGGTATTACTTTTGATCGAATAAATATTGGTCAATGCTTCATCTGTTGTAAGACAGAACCTACAAACAGGCCTTTCCTTCAGCTCAGCCGAATAACCATTTTCATCGTATTCCTCCATAATTTGTCGAACGAATTTTTTCGCCAGCAAATACACACACGCACCAGGGAAAAACTCAAAATTTTCTATTCAATGCACACTTTTTTCTGGTTTTTCGCTGCAAATTGATGAACACTTCGTTTGTTTATGATTGAGAGAGATAGAGATGTTCGTGGAAAAAATGCAACTACAGATAATACATCTGTGTCCCCCAAAACAATGATGTACATTTGAATGACGGTGTGTGTCAAATTCACCAGCGCACGCATCGTTAGGCAAACGACGGCTACCAAATGTCTTTCGCACTGGTGAATTTATTGGATTTGGTTATGGTAACTATAGTGATAACGTTAGATGGCGCTCGTTGTTTATACAAACTTTTCGGTTTCATGGTTGCTGGATGAAATGAGAGAAAGGTGTATACGGTAATTTATATCGCATACTTATTCATTTCAACGAATCTATCGCTTTAAATTTTAAAACTTTTTCTTGGTGAAGAAAAAAAAACAATTTTTTTTCCATTCTATAAATTTGCCTCGATTTTATTTCAACGATTTCGTTGGTGCTACAAATTGAACACGTGAAACAAACAAGAATCTATTCGATCATCATTAAGATGGTCAACTAAGGAGTCGATATAAAAATGATACATTGACAAAGAACATTATTTCTATCATTCATCGATGAGAAACTAAAAAAATTTATACGAAAAAAAATACAACAAAACGTTGTAAGCCCTAAGTATCGGTACATTTGTTTCCGACAATTTGTTTCACACAAATTACAATTGGTTTTCGATGTAAAATTTGCTAATTTGACATATTCTTCAACGCCTTATAAAAAAACCTACACAAAATCTATAAAAAAATATCTAAAGTCGAATACAAAAAAAAATTGTCAATCGATTGACTCACGGTTGGCCCTATTAGCAAACCATTTTGTTGCTGACTGCTTGACTAACTATAGTCGATTACATTTTTTGTTTTGCTTACGTTGATTCGTAGCCCATTTTCAATACATAGACAATTTCAGTAAACTATGACTATGCATTGCACTTAATTTTCAGTCAAATTAATCCATTTTCATCCCGAATTGGTCAACTGACTAGTCAGTTACGATATTTGCACGAATGGCTGGCCACAAATTCAATTTTCGCGAGAGTTTAAAATTATCTTCAACAATTCATCAATTTTTCTTTCTTTTAGCAAACCAGCAATTCGGGTTTGCTTTTCGAATTTCTGGGTCTATCTCATCTGGAGAAATCTTGACGAGAACGACAGTTTTTTTTTTCTTGGTTGTTTTCAGTTTGCTTCGTATGTGGGATGTTGTGGGCGTGCGGTTTGTGGCCAGATTTGCGACTTGACAATCCAGTTGTGGCGGTGGTGACGGTGGCGGTGTATCCAATGTGATCGATTTGCTCGTCGAAATGTCGCTTGACGGTGTAATGACGATTTGATCAGGTGCATTATCGACGGCTGAAGCAGTTGCTGTGGCATCCGTGGTGTGGTTGATCGGTGATTGAACCGTACCATTTCCAGCGTTCACATCGATGATGTTCCGTCGATTCGATCTGGCATTTGTTATTCGGCTGGCCGGTACAATATCTGGCGACACAACGTCTGATTGTTCTCCGCAATACGGGACAAAGCCATCGGACGCAAAGCTTTGCACATCGTTTTGTTCGTTTAACTCGCTTTCATCTACAGTTGGACAGTGTGTTTTGTGCGAGTGATCAATGTGGGCCGTCAAAATACGTCGGCTTGCATACGTTAAATTACAATGATGACAAGAATGCCTTTCGATGCCATGTTCTGCCGAGAAAGTGGAGAAAAAACATTTTAGTTTATCTTAATTTTGTTTCTATTCCTTTCACCCAATTCATATCCAATTGTTTACCTTCAATGTAGTGTACATTCAATAATCCATTTGTTTGGAATCCTCGATCGCAATGTTTGCATTTGAAAAACGAGTGACTTGTTTGCAAATGATTGATGAGATATCCTTCTTTGGCATAGCTTTTGTTACACACACCACATTTGAATGGCTTTTGACTCTATGTGTTTTGTAACGAGAAAAGAATTGAAAAAAGAAAATGTTAGGTTATTTTTTTGACTCTAATTGACTTTCACTCGTTTACCTCAATAAGTTCATGGGAAATTTTCGGATGTTCAAGTTTTTCAGGGAGTTTACCAGTCGATAAACATTGTTCAATCAATGTACTGGCTTTCTTACACATTTGCTTGGATTCATAGAAACAATCCACCCAGCTATGACATGTGTCACAAATGAAGTCATCATCAGCAACATCCTGAAAATAAAAAAAATGGACGTTTCAACGGTTTATAAGGTCTCGAATAGTCGATTCAAAAAGGAAAATAAGAAAAGGCGAAACCAAAAACTTCAACAACAACCAAATTCCAAATTTTTAAAAAAATTGCTTTGCACCAATTGGCGAAATGAAAACTGATGTATGAGACTTAGTTGTTATCATGTTTCATATTAAATTTGTAGAAATGCATGCTTAGCATATCGAAATATCATGAAAAAGAACAGTTGACATTATTTCCCTTTGCTTACATTCTCAGAGCTTCAAAAATGGAAGAATTCAAATAACACCAGTGTGCAAATCAAATACCTGTAACTAAAATCATCTAATAAGCGACTTTAGTTAACTGAGCAGATGATTTGTATGAAAAAATATTCGACTAAATTTTAGCCAGTTGCTTAATTTGGGACGTATTTGACTGCAGTCAACTTGTGATTGCAGTTAACTGTGATCATTGTTTTTTTTACAGAATAATCACTTTTTAGCCAGTCGACTATTTCCCAAAATAATCGATTGGCTGCTCAGTGCTCAGTCAGAATATTTCCACACGAGCACGGAAAATTGAAGCCATTGAAGAATATCTTGACTCATGAATGTGTAAGAAATTGAATTTTGAATTGAAAACGTTCATTTTTGCATTAAATCTTCTAAAAATGTTTGCTTTTTTGAATAATTTCTTATTTGCTTCATTTTGGTTGGCCCGTTTCATTTGCAATATCCAAATATGTATTCATGAAAAACGTTCGATTTGTGCATGGTTTTTGTTACAGTTGGCAAATTATTCAAAAACAATGAGCCCACCAACCGCGTGAATTGTGTGAATGTTTATCACAATCAATGGTTTAATAAACCATTTATTTCTTATGCAGACAATTCAGCAGTTTTGACAGTGACATATGTGATTGTTTTCAGTAGCAACACACACTCACATACATGGCTCCAAATTGAATCGAAATGCGACGATTGAATTTTGTACATGATAATCATTTCTCTATTGGCTTGTACAGTACACAGAAAAACAATGACTTCTGGCTCAAAGCAACAGCATAAAACATCATTTTCGGTCATTTCCACTGCAATCCAATTGTAAGACAGAAAAAAAAATGATAATCGTATCAAAATCTTATTGGAAATGTTGAATGAAAAAAAGTAACTTTGATTTCACTGCTAGCGTAAGAAAATCAATAAAACAGCAGAAAAAAAACCTTACTATTCCATACACATCTCTGATTTTCGTGGCAAGTGGAACTTGTGTATTGGCACATTGAATCGCACTGATATTTGTTCGTGTCAAACAAATCCGACACATAAACACAGCTCTCTGATTTAACTCCGACGTATTTTCATCGTATTCCTCCATGATTTTCGATCAAATTTATTCGTCACCACACGAAAAAAAACAACAACAACTGATTGATTTATTTTTGTTCTTTTTTTCAAAAACAGTTTTTCGTTTAGAAAAGTGCAACTCAATTGAACTGTTTGTTGTATTGGCACTTGACTGGCTGACAGTTAGTTTGAATAGCACAAACAACGTTTAGCCGGCATCAACTAAACAGCGATGATGTTCACTTGACTGATAAACTCAAACCGACTCAAGCGAATGTCAACTCAACTAACGTAGAATGGCGTTAGATGTCTCTCCATGTATGATTTGCGGCTGAAATTCAACGAATCTATCGTCTAATAACAAAACACATTTTATCGATCAACAAAACAAAAAAATCTTCTTTTTTTCAATCATTTCTGAACTTAACATTTTATTTCCCACCATTTTTCGATTCTACATTATTTGGAATCAATCGATTCGTTTTCATGGAGTTTTCAATTTAAAATTTATATAAACACACCGACTAAAAATGTGTTGAATATTAATGCTAATATACTCGATATTCGTGTTATCTGTGTTTCGCAAGCGAATTAATTAATTGGCTCCGACTGATAACAGAGCAAACCAGTAAAAGTCTGTTGGTCTAGAGTCCAAGTTTTCAATGTTTTTTTTTTCCTTTGTTTCGTTTCGTCTTATTTGTTAGGCTCTATCATAGCGTTTTTTTTATATAGTCTTGATCTCTATGTCGGACGCATCTTTTGAAAAGGCAGCCGATTGGCGCACATTGATAACTTATGGATGAATAAAAAAAAACTTATTATCAATGGTTAAAGCATTTCTTCATACTTTTTTCTCTTTCTTCAAATTTCAACTAAACAAAATTGTTTCTTAAAATTGATGATTGCTTAAAATTACTTAGACTTTGGTTTCTTTTTCATAACAAAAAAAAATTTAGATGATTTTATGTAAATCTACATGATCCAATCCAGCCGATTGATCCCCTTATTCGGAATATCCGATGCGTTTTTTCAATTCATTCAATTCATGAGCAATTTCAGCGGGTAAATCACCGCCAACTTGTTCATCAAAGTATTGTTTAATATCGTCTGCCTCTTTGAGCCAGAAAACTTTCGGTATCGAGAACAGTTCGTCAATATTGATGTCTTTCTTGAGTTGTGCAGTGTTTAAGCTATTCTCTGACGGAATGTAGCCGATTGGCGTTTTTTCGTAGCATGGTTCGTTGTTGATACGCTTGAGAATCCATTCTAATACACGAATATTTTCACCGTAACCAGGCCATAGGAATTTTCCGTTGGCATCCTTTCGGAACCAATTGACGTGGAAAATTTTTGGCGGTTGAGCACCACGTGCATTGGCTCGTGCCTCCATCGTTAGCCAGTGTTTAAGGTATGAACCGAAATTGTAACCGAAGAATGGACGCATTGCGAATGGATCGTTCATTATGATTTTGCCTTTGTGTTCGGCAGCGGCTGTTGCTTCACTGCGCATTGTTGCACCGACGAATATACCGTGTTGCCAAGAGAATGCCTCGTATACGAGTGGTACGCCGGCCGGCCGTCGTCCACCAAATAAAATGGCACTGATTGGAACACCATCTGGACTCTCCCAGTCTTTGTCGATGATTGGACACTGTTCGGCTGGCGTGCAAAATCGCGAATTCGGATGCGCTGCTGGTGTTTTTGATACACCTGGAATCCATGGCTTGCCCAACCAATCGGTTACACTGATATTGTCCGTTAAAGTGTTCTCCATTCCTTCCCAGTATACACCACCATCGGATGTTGATGCAACATTCGTGAAAAGTGTATTCTTGAAAATGGTCTTCATCGCATTTGGATTCGTTTGATCTGACGTTCCTGGCGCAACACCAACTAGAATATTTCGAGAAAGAGAGAAAAATTGAAGGGAGTTTGTTAGTTTTTGTCTTTTTTTTCTGAGGTTTTTGAACAAAAAACGATTGTTGCGGTCAATTTATGAACAAGAATCGATCAAATTAAAAGTTTTTATTACGAAATTTTGGTTTCAATTTTTGAATTATTTGGTTTATGAACTGAAACCATTTTTACGCATCAAAATCAACCGTAAGACGGGTAAAAATTGCCAAATATTCAAAATGTCAATACTTACAGAAGCCATTTTCGGGATTAATCGCACGCAATTGACCCTTTTCATCGTATTTCATCCATGCGATATCGTCACCGATGCATTCAACCTTGTACCCAGGTAGCGATGGTGTAAGCATGGCCAAATTGGTTTTGCCGCACGCCGATGGGAATGCAGCAGCAATGTATCGTTTTTCTCCTTCAGGATTGGTAATACCCAAGATAAGCATATGCTCAGCCAGCCATCCTTCCTTCTTGGCAATGGTGCTGCCAATGCGTAGAGCGAAGCATTTTTTACCCAACAATGAATTGCCACCATAGCCGGATCCATACGAAACGATTTCATTGGAAGCGGGCTTATGCAAAATGATGGTTCTTTCGGGATCGCATGGCCACGATGGTTGTTCAATTTTACCGCTCGCTGGTGTGCCAACCGAATGTAGGCATCGGACAAAATCGCTATTGTCACGCAGTAAATTCAGAACAGCACGACCCATTCGGGTCATAATACGCATTGAGCAAACGACATAAGCTGAGTCGGTGATTTCGATGCCAATTTTCGAAAGTGATGATCCAACTGGGCCCATTGAAAATGGTACCACATACATTGTACGTCCTCTCATACAGCCCGGGAATCGATTAAACATTGCTGCTTCCATGTCCTTTTCCGAAATCCAATTTCCCAATTTCCCTTCGACATTCTCCTTAGCCGTTGGAATTGAATCTTCACGATGTGGCGTACAAATAAATGTCTTCGATTCGACACGAGCTACATCGGCCGGATTTGTACGAGCCAACCAACAATTTTCATACTTTGGCAATGGCGTTATAGTGCCTTGGCTGTACAACAATCGCAATAGCATATTGTACTCTCGATTGCTGCCATCACAAATATGGATTTGCTCCGGTTGACACAACATCACCGATTGCTCAATGAATGCACGCACTTTTGGCGATAGAACACCCGTCTCTCCGTTTGACACCGGGAAGCCACGAATGTGATTGTACAGCCCAACGTTACTGGTTGTTGTACATTTTGACGTCATATATGACCTAAGGATTAAAATTTGAGAATAGAAAGTGTTAACAAAAATTTTAATCAAATTGATGAAACACATGATTGCCGCCCTATGACGAAGCGGACACAGTTTCGAAGCACAGAAATATTCTGACTGAGCAGCCAATCGAATATTTTGGGATATAGTCGACTGGCTAAAAAGTGATTAATCAGTACAAAAACATTGATCATAGTTAACTGCAATCACAAGTTGAATGCAGTCAAAATTGCCCCAAATTTGGCGACTGGCTAATATTTCATCGTAGTCGATTATTTTTTTCATCAGTTAACTAAAGTCAGATTTCAGTTACAATCAGTCAGTCATTTGTTTTCAACACCGGTCGAGATATCGGAATGGTCTTAAGTGTATATCACTTTAAACATCAAATATTGCATCAGATAAAAAAAAAACATTCGATGGATGATGAAATTCAACCGTACGCTCGGTCATATTAAAACAAACACAAGCATCGGCTACTCAAACACAAACATTGGCCCCTACAACACGCACTGAACTGGCTGAAAGTTTTCGCCTGCAACGCATTTATGCTGTTTTCGACCATGGAATTACAGTGTTTTGTTTATTTAAACTAGACAAACTGGTGCGCAATTTTTAGATCCAATTGTAAACAGCATAAAAATAAAATGTGTTTACATGGGAACAATGAGCACTTAATGAGGATGTTTTGATTTTACGCTTCTTTTTTTTGCTCACTTTGGTAAGTAAGTCGAAAGCCATGGGCAAAATTGTGAAATTGCACTTGAATTGAAATAGATTATTGAATTAGCATTAACGACAACATTTCAAGTGCAGCGATCGTTGAAGCTATTTTGAATGCAAAAAATAACAAAAAATGGAAAAAATGAAGAAGAATGCAAAACGTCCAGGTTTGACTCCAGATCGGATTCATTTCACTTCGGACCAGATTCAATACGGATTATCTGATTGTCCATGGAATTTCTTTCTTCAGTAAAGAAGGTAAAGAATCTTTACAAAGAAAGAATTAATTCAAAAGTCAAGAAAAATTGTGAAATTTGGAGAAAAAAACGCAACACGAGAAACAAATTGCGAAATTACACGAATTGATGTTCACAACAAAAATATTACACAAATGCGAAAAAACGTTGCAATAAGTGAATTATTCGATTCTGACGAAAGTTCTCCGGAATGTTTTCAGAATATTTTTAGAAAATTAATTTTTTGTTTTGGATTTTCTGATTTTTTTGTTGAAATTTTTTTGGAACATTTTGGAACTTTCCTTTTTGATCTTCCGAAAATCTTTGAAAATGATTTCTCTCCAGTTTCATACCGAGAATAAGAATTTCAATAAAAAAAAATCTTTTAAAACTGTTTTCTCCGTAGAAACTCCTTTAAAATATCAAAATCTACGGAAAAATCCAAAAAAACCTTGAAAAAAATTGAAAACTTACGTTGGTGCAACTTTTTCGATGAGTTCTGGCATTTTGATTTCGGTTGATGGTGCAGTACTTTTAGCTCGGACACAAAATGTAACAAAAGTGCGTAAATTTTGTGTCGCTTTCACAATGATGAAAGCCGTTTTGATAGAATATCAATTCGATTCAAATGAAAATTTTCGCTCGATTTTCAGTTTTGTTTTTACACACTGCAATTGATTCGATTGTATCACATTCACTGCCGGTGGCGCGTTTGACGGTGTAAAAATTGTTCGCAAAATCCGCACTTTGAATATAATCGAAATTTAAGAATTTTTCGTTGAGCGATTCTATTCATTTAAAAAGTGGATCGTGGTTGGTTGTGTGTTCTAGTTTTTTTTTCGAGTTTAAAAAAATTGGTGTTTAGTATTTAGTTGTTTAGTTGTCAACGACAAAAACGTAAATGCTCTGCAAAAATCTCTCTTTGCCAGATTTAAAATTTCTTTTTCGTACGAATTTCTCTTATTCTTTGAAAATAATAATCCACTGTGCCTTTTTCAGATGGGTCTGAAATGGTTGTGTCCGTTGAACGATGTGAGGTGCGTTGGACGGATCATGGGCTTATATACAGAGCGAAATTTTGCCATGTGTGTTTTTTTCTCTCTTCTCACTTCTGTGTGTATCGCCTGTTTAGTGCGTCTTGTTTTTGGTTTGAGACCGTTTTTTTTTCTCTCTTCACAGCCCGTTGTTTGTGCCTGTTGACACTCTCCGTGTTGTTTGTATGGTTATGGTTTTTGTGTGTGTGTGTGGAGTGTTTGTGTGCATCATTGAAAAACAATGTTTTACACATACACCGAATTGTCCGGGATGTAAATTGCCATCGGTCGGTAAGTGTCGCTTGAAATCGCTGTAATTTGTTTCCTTCTTAGTTCAATCCGTATTGGTATGTGAGTGTGTATTACACACTCCTCTTCTAAACATGAACGACCGAGCACCGAATGCGACGGCAGGGGCACACACGATTATCAATGTAATCCATGATTGGTGCGGTAAAGAGGCTCGTTATCACATACACGCTATAACTGCTTTGTTTGGCATTTTGACGCGCGCGACACGCTCATTTACATAGTCACACAAAAACAAAACAGATGATTATAAGAAGCATGTACGAGATTCGAGATTCAAATACTTGAACAACAGCATTTTTTTCCTGTGGTTGTTGTCGTCGTCGTCTTCCTCGTTGTTGCTGATTAACTAGGTGGTAGGTGATTTACTTGCTGAATATCGAAATCTGGACAAAAAAAACACTTATCGCTTCTAAACCAGAAAACACGTCGCAGAAAAAGAAGAAGAAGCAGAGACACACACGACGCAATACAACAACAACCGTTCATGGCGAAACAGCTGATAACACAATCGTTTGAACGAATGTATATGTAAATATATATCACCGTTCGTTCGGTCGGTTTGGTCGAGTTCCAAATTAATCTGGAAAGGCACATACATATTCGTGTGATCAATTGATAAAGCAGCGGAACTTTGTACCATTCGCATTTGGCGGTGTTGTTTACAAATACTGCTTTTGCCCACTGAATTTCTAGCACGCTTTGCATCATCGTCGCATTTTATTGAATCGAAAATGTGCACTTTGATTAGTAATAATCAAATCCACTCAGCAGTTTTGATACTTTGGTTGATTTTCGAATTGCACATTGAATGCAAACTTACGGCAAATTTCAAGTGGACAATACCAGCCTCTCTGATCGTCTGTACAAATAGATAGGTAACGTCAAACAAGAACAATAAAGCGGCACCTGGCGACTGGTTGGAGAAATAGAGAACCATGCACATAGTTTGCTGTAACAAGTATGCGTCTGTGTTAGTTCAAACGTTGAAAGTATGACACATTGCACTTAGTCCCCAGGTGCCGCTGTATTGTTTACTATTTTCATGATCAGAAAGGCTGGACAATACATGAAGCAAAAATCGTATTCATATGAAACGACACGGTTAAACACAAATTTTTACAGCCTATGTGAAGCTAATATGAAACAATCACAGTCGAAATGAAGTCATTTGTTGACGACAAATTGATTTCAACTCGACATCGTTCCACTTCACAATTTTTGAACTTCAAATTTTCAATGTGAACACACTCAGCCGATTTTTTTTCCAATTTGATTTTCTGTTGTTTTTGAACAAGTCATTTCCGTTTGCATCGAATGTGACATTTTTTTGTTGCATTGAATGCCCGTTTTTTTTGTATTGAATTAAAAATATCCGTTCGATTAAGAAAAAAAAACACGCATGGGGAGAAGATCGATCATTGGCATTGTCGAGTGCTTGATCGCTTCCTGTTGGGTTTCAATCGCTTCAGATTAGCCGTAGAACTTTCGAGTGCAGAGAGAGCGAGAAACAATAAACAGCAACAAATGGAAAATTCCCGCTTGGAGAAAGAAGAAAAAAACAGCGAATTGAGACCATTTGCTTGATAGTTAATACTAATATCTCACAAGTGGGACAACATGTGCGCCCCAAACCATGAATGTATGCGTAAAATTTCCATAGTTCACAATACGTACACTGTATGTATGTGCATGAAAATAGCGACTTTTCAATATTTGTGTATTGAAATTTTCTATAGAAACGCTGTGCGAATTTAAGAAAAAAAGACGACGACGACGAATGGAGCCGCAACAAATCGCTTGGAGTAGAAAGTTCACAAGAACGACATTATTTACAGATACGGTTAAGTCTAGACATTCAAAGCCAACCGATCATCTCAAAGGTCAACCGATTTTCAAATGTAATACGTACAAATCTGACTCAGTTGAACATGCTTCAAATCTCGGTGCAGCAGGATTTTAATTAAGAGAATCCTTTGGCTACCATCATTTCGATTAGACCCGTTTTTAATAAGCATCGAGAGCAATCAAGAGAGGGTACATTTTGCATACCATGGACTATTTCAATTGTTTTAACGGTTGTCAATTGAACGAACGATCGCGTTGAAAACATTCAATGATGTTGATAAAACTTACACTCTTGATAGTTGTAATCGAAATAAAATGGAAATTTTTTCATTAGATTATTTTAATTTATTGAATGAAGATTTTCTTCAAGACGAATAAGGACATTTTTTCCACTTTATAAGATCCAAATCCATTGTTTGCATGAAAATTGATGTAAAAACCCATCGTTTGAACAAACCATGTTTAATTCCTAATTAAAAATGTCCCATAAATTTGTCCAATAATACATCGCAGACAGAAGCTGAGCCTAGCCGATCGATTCGAATCGACCTGTGCCGATCTGGGCCGATAATTTTCGGTTTTCCTGTAATTATCACCTAGTTTAAGGTCCTTTAATGATCGTCTAATGATCACATTAGTCTCTTTTTTCAATATTCTTTCAATATTCTTGCTACAGCCTTTATTTATTTTATTTTGCCACAATAACTGTTAATCTTAATGATCAACATCTACAGCATCATTGATGCTGATCTATTTTCATTGGGCTTAGAATTATGGTTGACATTGGTCTATCGTCTATCCAATACGCATGTCAGAATTATACCGAGCGAAAAAAAAATCTTTTAAGCTAACTTGCGTGTCTCAAGTATAACAGCGTAGTTATGGATTAAAAAGCGAACAAAAATGTCATTAGCAATGGCCCATAGATTTAAAATTAACTTAATTAGTAATAATCTAATGGAACAAATATGCGAGAACAACGTGCCGGAGAAAGGAACCGATAAAAAAAAGAGAAAAAACGACTAATATGACGTTCAGTACGCTTGGAAATATAAAAAAATACTATTAAAATCAAAAATGAGAGACAAATTTGGGAGCATTTATCAAATTGATCGAACAAATTGTTTACAAATCATGTTCTTCTTCATATAATTAGAATGTTAATGTATTATTTACTCCAATTTGGAGCATTAAAATGCATTAACATTCTAATAATATGAAGAAGAACATGATTTGTAAACGATTTGTTCGATCAATTTAGGTAAATTCTCCCAAATTAGTCTCACATTTTTGATTTTAGTTTGGAATTTATCTCTCATTTCAAATTTTACTTCATTTTATCGATAAAATGATCATTTCAGATGACAATCCATTTGAACAGAGTATGATAAGTGAGTCTAAATATCATCAGTTCATCGAATAATTTCAAAAATTATGTTCATTATCGAAAACTCTTTGAAGCATACGCTGAATTTTGATCTGTTGATCCGACATTTCATTCGGGCCAACGGCCAAGGTAAACAGAATCACTTTTGATAAGATAGCCTCACGATGAAATATAGAAAGCGTTTATTATAGAGTTTCGAATGTTTGCGTCCGAATGAAGAGAAATGGTTTCGATTGTTTGTTCCAAAAAAAGTGTTGATACGTAATTTTCGAGGAATTTCTCTCGTAAACAAGCAATGACATCGCCATCTCAGCTCGGCCAAAGCAATTGTTTGTGTCGTTGACGTAACAGCCTATATTGTTCAATGTTCATAGTATTAGCTTCATATATGCAAGTCCATTGCATCGCAGTCACAGTAATGATTTAGCAGAAAGTGATATGGAAGAGCAAGACCTAGCTGAGAGATTTTTGCAATCTAAATGAATGGATACTTAGCAAATCTGATCAAATTCTTGAAATCTAAACAAATTCTCCTGAATCCAAAGAAGACTCTCTACATCCTGATTCATTTTGAGTTTTAAAAAGAAAAATTCAAAAATCCGATGTTTTCTGGACCAACGACCGAACATATCCACTTATCTAATTGGAAAATATATTTTGCGTCGATCAGATGTTTTTGAAATTACACTCATTTGAATGCGCATCAAAACAACAGCTGATAAAACACAAAACCAATGACTTAACAAGTCGAATAAATTGCAAATCTCGTTTTTTCTTCGCCAAAAAAATTTCAATCAATCAATTAGCTCAATCTGTCCCTTTTTCAAGTGGGCTAAATGAAAACAATAGCTTCTGCTCTGATTTCTTGATCGCTTGTCAACAACGGGTCTTGAACAGCCGTAAGGGCTGATGCAACAATATGCATCTCAACTCAAAGACTTTAACGGCGAATGCAATAAATAAAACACCTATTTTTAGACTTAACACTGCATCTGATATCAATCAGTGCAATTCACAGCGACAGTTACATCAACGCAATGACTTGCAGTCAAGTACAGACAAATTGATCGAGCATTTATTTATTTTATTCCAGCCTTTTTTTTGTCCATATTGCTGGTACAAAGTCCTCCGTAGAGTAGAAAAAAACTCAAAAATCGACTCACAATAAACAACAAGCAATCACATCCAAACTGAGCGACAAGTTTCATCGCAAATGAGTGACAAGTTTACAGGAATTGTGATCGAAGTAAAAAGAAAAGAAATTTTTCCATCGAAATGACAACTCAATAACCCAATGGAAAAAAAACAACATCAATAGCACATGTAATCTAGTCCATACGTTATTTCTGTTCCACGAAATTTCTATATAACTTTCGTCATTCATAATTGTAAATCAAATAAGGACAAGCCATTGATTGGGTTACATGTGGAATTGATAATGGACAAATTATCCGACGTGATTTGATTGAAATGACAACTTTCAATAATGATTTTAAACAAAATCAACAATATGAATGCGACACGCATGAAACGAAATCAAAAATGCCACCGAATCTAAACCATGACGTCTCGTCAAATGGCATCGCCCGTATAATGATGCGTCGGACATTTCATACATACCGAAAAACGAAGTCGCAATTCTGTCCATGGAGGCTCGTTTCGTTATCACACACATTTTTCAAGTGTGATCGAGGTTCAAGTGAAGTTCAGAACATATTTTGGGGTTTTTCTATTGACAAAGAAATGATTGCGTTATTGACGACGACAACGACGACGACGACGACAACGACAGCAGCAACAGCAACAACATCAATAAAAATCAGTCCAGATTTGTTCAACGTAAAAATCGAAATCGCCTTGCGTTTTTAAATATAAAAATAAAAACAAAATCATCTGTTTTTTCCAGACGTTCTATCCTAATCAGCATGAAATTTTGCATGGATTTTTC